CTGACACTATCAACGTACATATGGACAATATCAACGTACGTGCTGACACTATCAACGTACATACGGACAATATCAACGTACGTGCTGACACTATCAACGTACAATATCAACGTACGTGCTGACACTATCAACATACGTGCTGACACTATCAACGTACATATGGACAATATCAACGTACGTGCTGACACTATCAACGTACGTGCTGACACCATCAACGTACGTGCTGACACTTATCAACGTACGTGCTGACACTATCAACGTACATATGGACAATATCAACGTACGTGCTGACACTATCAACGTCCATATGGACAATATCAACATACGTGCTGACACTATCAACGTACATATGGACAATATCAACGTACGTGCTGACACTATCAACGTACATACGGACAATATTAACGTACGTGCTGACACTATCAACGTACGTGCTGACACTATCAACGTACATACGGATAATATCAACGTACGTACTGACACTATCAACGTACGTGCTGACACTATCAACGTACATACGGATAATATCAACGTACGTACTGACACTATCAACGTACGTGCTGACACTATCAACGTGTCCGCCACACTGACTTCCAAACACTCCTCCAAGTGTCAGATTCTTATTAATATCTTATAAATACTATTTCTTTCAACACGATTTGTTTTATTGTTGGGTAGATAATGTTTGTATATTATTTATTTTGTTACAAATAACTCATTAGGTAGTGAGTTATTGTTGTTTATTGAGTTTCTTGATGGTTGAGTTGGAGACGTGGCAACGTTGCACTTAAACTTGGTTCTTATCTTAAGTTATTATCTTATTATTTACTCTTTAATCAATGAAAGGTGCGCCTTTATAGTCCTTCGTTTTGCTGATGTTTAAATATTTGTTTAATTATTATTTTTAAGGTGGTATCAGGTGTGGTTGGCTCAAAATATGTCATAATTGTTGGTGGTTTGAGCGGGAAACCAGCAGTGAATGGCGGCAAGTTTGAACGAATATTTCTGAGCACTTTTATTATTGCTATATTTTCTCTTATGTCTTCCATATTTATCGGCTTTTTAATTATTGTTATTGCACGGGGATGTTAACGGTATTGCCCACATCACATTATTTTGAAAAATAATATACAATAAATCTGAAAATTGACACAGACTGATCACCTCAGGCACCTTCACTGACTTTTTTGTTATCCTGGGTACTTTATACATATACTGCTATGTATGATAGTCTATGTAACTACACATATACTGCTATGTATGATAGTCTATGTAACTACACATATACTGCTATGTAACTGTTTTTGTGTATACCTGAGTAAACTCACTTCTGACCTTCCACTGTTATTCTCTATATTGGACTGTAGAAACCACTGGCCACGTCTCCTACATACAGGTATACATAAATACAGTTACACAAACTACCATACATAGTAACATATATGTATATTTAATACCAGGATAACCCAAAAAAGTCAGACTTACCTGCAAATGTTACCTAAGTGTCTCATTATTCAGGTATATATGAATAACATTGTATATCTGGGTGACCAGATATATTTTTGGTAAAAATTGTATAGGCGTTTGACAGGTGGTTCGATTAATATATATAATTCCCTATAACTTCTTGTTTATGAAGTTTTTAAGTTCATACTCCGACCTGTGTTATTATTAATGATTTTTATTGTAAATTGAGTCGTCTGTAAATATTATTATTTGTGTTTTCAATGATATATAATATACATGAGTGAAGTTTAAATATTAAAATTATTATTAAAGTCACACAGTGGTGATAACTTTTATCTGTATAATCGATGATAACTTAACAAATTTAAATATGATTGACTTCCGTCGATCCAAAAATATTTAAAAAATAATATAAAAATTAACTAAAAATAGTTTGCGTTACCCTTAAAGGGTAACTAGGTAAAGAAAACGGAAGATGAAGTTGAATAATGAGAAAGTTTCCTGAAAACTCTTGTTATGAATGATGTACTATATTATGAATAACTTGATAATGTTTTTGGTAGATTAAACACAATGTTTATCTTAATTTGTAAATAAACCTTAGGCTCGTTATTAACAAGTTTGTTGTTGTTGTTGGGGTTTATAGGGCCACTGACAGCATACGCCGTAGCTTATTATTATATAAACTACGGTGAGTTAATGAACCTGTTGTTGTTGACTCAGGTGAACGTGGTTTGAACTCTCCTATATGTAGTTGCAGGGGTCGATTTACAGCTCCTTGACCCGCCTCTTCGCTGGTTTCTACTAGGTCCACTCTCTCCCTGCTCCAAGAGCCTTATCGTACCTCTTCTTATGGCTATGTATGGATCCTGCCTCTACCACTTCACTCTCCAGATTGTTCCACTTCCTGACAACTCTAAGGCTGAAGAAATACTTCATAATACATGTATTTCTCTGATTCATCTGAGCTTTCAGTTTCAAGTTGTGCCCTCTTGTTCCTATTTTCCACCTCAGAAACATTTTGTCTCTGTTCAACTTGTCAATTCCTTTCGGCATTTTGTACAGTTGCCATATTTCCCCTAGTTCTCCTGTCCTCCATTGTTGTCAGGGTAATTTCCCTTAACTTCTCCTCGTAGGATATACCCCTTAGCTCCGGGACTAGTCTTGTTGCAAACCTCTGCACTTTCTTCAGTTTCTTGATATGCATGACCAGGTGTGGGTTGCATACTGGTGCTGCATACTCCAATATGGGCCTGACGTATACAGTATACAGTGTCGTGAACGACTCCTTAGATGTTCAGAAACTATTCCTAGATTTTCTTGGCACCCATATGTTACAGCAGTTATTTGGCGGATGTGTGCCTCAGGGGATATGCTCGGTATGATGCTGACCCCAAGGTCCTCCTCAAGTGAGATTTGCAGCCATCCATGAAGCCGTGCTGTCTGTCATGCATGAACTCTCTCCTTTCTAGGCATTCTACCAATCTTCTGATAATCTCAATAACTTCACATACATGTGAGTGACACTGGTTTGTAGTTAAATACAAGTGTCTGTCTCCTCTTAAAAAATGGGACTATATTTACTGTCTTCCACACTGCTGGCAGTTGTCCTGTTTCAATAGGCATGTTGTGGTTGCAGGGGTTGAGTCCTATCTGTTGGCCCCACCTCTCGTCGCTTGTCAGGTTTACTCCCTTCTGTCCCCGTCTTCCTTATCATACCTGTTCTTAAAACTATGTATGAAGCCTGCCTCCACAACTTCTTCACCAAGACAGTTTTATTTCTCGATCACTCTGGGACTAAGAAATACTTTCTGACATCCTTGTGGATCATCTGTGTCTTAAACTTACAGTTTTATCTCAAAGTTCCCATTTCTATCCTGTCAAATATCCTCTCATTGTCTTCTATCAATTTCCAGGAATATTTTATATGTTGTCTATCATTCAGTGTTGTGAGATCCAATTCTGCCTCTAAGTAAGTTAATTTAGGTACACATATGTATAATTATCATGCATGTGTAAATTATTCACCAGGATAACCCATAAAAGTCAGAGTGACATGTTTCCATTGTGGTTCTTGTGATATATCTCTCATGGCTCATATTCCTAACTCTGGAACTAATCTGACTGCATATTTCTGCACTTTCTCTACTTTCTTAACAGGATTTTCCAGGTGTTTGTTCCATACTGATGTTGTATACCAGGATGGGTCTGACTTATGTTGCATATAAGGCCTGTAATGACTCTTTGTTGAGGTTCCTGAAGGCTGCTCTTAGATTTGCCAGACCAACATGGGCTGCAAAGGTTATTTGGTTGATGAGAACCTCTGGCACTATGCTGGGCACTTTGTACATCTGTAGCTGGCATAATTGGTAGCGTCTTCAGCTCCCAGGAACCCAGTGGAAATAAGTCACTTTGTCTGATTTTTGGGGGGGTTATTCCAGGTTCTGTACACATATGCTGATATGTATGATAATCTACGTAACTGTATTTGTGTATACCTGAATAAACTTACTACCCCACATTGAGGATCCGGGATCGATCCCAGCGAGGGTGAAATGTTAAGCTTATTAAGGTACAAGTACACATCAGTACAATTATCATGCAGTATTTAAATTACCCTCCAGGATAACCCAAAAAAAGTCAAAGTGACTTATTTCCATTGTGGTTGGTAATATTTTCTTACAGCTGCTGCAACCCGTCCTCTGAATTAGTCATTATTTAACTGTTGTAAAGACAGTCAAGAGGGAGACTGTTGAAGGTGACTTAAACAGTTAGATTCTGACTGTTATGTTGAGACTGGTCTAATCTGCAGGGAGGAAACATGGAACAAATAGCAAATGTGTGTCTGAGGCTGAGCAGACGGAGGATCAAGCCTTCACCACGTCTTGTGATGCATAACCACACCGTGGTTATGCATCACAAGGTGGACAGAACAAGGTGGACAGAACAAGGTGGACAGAACAAGGTGGACAGAACAAGGTGGACAGAATAAGGTGGACAGAAACGGGATGTTCCAGAGATGGGACACAAAAACAAGAGGTCACAGTTGGAAGTTGAAGACTCAGACGAGTCACAGGGATGTTAGGAAGTATTTCTTCAGTCATAGAGTTGTCAGGAAGTGGAATAGCCTAGTAAGTGAAATAGTGGAGGCAGGAACCATACATAGCTTTAAGACGAGGTATGACAAAGTTCATGAAGCAGAGAGAGAGAGGATCTAGTAGCACTCAGTGAAGAGGCGGGGCCAGGAGCTGAGTCTCAACCCCTGCAACCACAATTAGGTGAGTACAATTAGGCGGGTGCGGGTTTAGCGCTCAACAATGAGCACGGGGGGGGGGGGGCCCGAGCTTTAACGGCCCTTAACAACTATATCACCAAAACTCAATTTTTCGGTCAAATTTTTGTCTTTTATTCGATTTTTACTAAACTAAATAATATTTTGGAAGATGAGAAGACAGCGAGTTTGTTATCAGTTTATGTTTCACCGTCAGATAAGATAAATAAGATAAGACACAGCAAGATATAGCGGTAAATAATGATAGTGAAATGTTGGTGGGATATCACATAGTACTTAACTATTTGTGGTTGTAGAAGGTTGAGACACAGCTCCTGGTCCCCGCCTCTGTGTCCTTGTAGGAGGTTGAGACACAGCTCCTGGTCCCCGCCTCTGTGTCCTTGTAGGAGGTTGAGACACAGCTCCTGGTCCCCCGCCTCTGTGTCCATGTAGGAGGTTGAGACACAGCTCCTGGTCCCCGCCTCTGTGTCCTTGTAGGAGGTTGAGACACAGCTCCTGGTCCCCGCCTCTGTGTCCTTGTAGGAGGTTGAGACACAGCTCCTGGTCCCCGCCTCTGTGTCCTTGTAGGAGGTTGAGACACAGCTCCTGGTCCCCGCCTCTGTGTCCTTGTAGGAGGTTGAGACACAGCTCCTGGTCCCCGCTTCTGTGTCCTTGTAGGAGGTTGAGACACAGCTCCTGGTCCCCGCCTCTGTGTCCTGGTGCTGTCACGTTCTTTGAGGGATCTTGCTGTATGACCCTTGTAGGTTTAGCGATTCGTTATTATAGTAATTTTAGGGATCTTGATCCAAGGAATTGGATCATCTTAAATCGATCTTAATTACCTCCAGTTTTACCAGGTGTTGCATTACCCCTACTGGTTTAGCACTTCTCGAAATATAATAATAATGGCATCGTCTCTTAGTACCTTATTGTGGATGAAGGCTCTTGATCCAAGGAAGAGGATCAGTCCTCTCCTTGGATCAAACCTAATCACCTACAGTCTCCTGATGCTTCACAAACCGTACGAGTTTAGTGCTTCCCCTCGTTAATGTTATGGCGTTTGTATGACCCATACGGGTTTATAGCTCATTTTATATACATACTTCCTTAAATACTGACAGGTGGTTCTCAGACAGGTGGTTCTCAGACAGGTGGTCCTGAGACAGGTGGTCCTGAGACAGGTGGTCCTGAGACAGGTGATCCTGAGACAGGTGGTCCTGAGACAGGTGGTCCTGAGACAGGTGATCCTGAGACAGGTGGTCCTGAGACAGGTGGTCCTGAGACAGGTGGTCCTGAGACAGGTGATCCTGAGACAGGTGGTCCTGAGACAGGTGATCCTGAGACAGGTGGTCCTGAGACAGGTTGTCCTGAGACAGGTGATCCTGAGACAGGTGGTCCTGAGACAGGCGGTCCTGAGACAGGCGATCCTGAGACAGGTGATCCTGAGACAGGTGGTCCTGAGACAGGTGGTCCTGAGACAGGTGGTCCTGAGACAGGTGATCCTGAGACAGGTGGTCCTGAGACAGGTGGTCCTGAGACAGGTGGTCCTGAGACAGGTGATCCTGAGACAGGTGGTCCTGAGATAGGTGGTCCTGAGACAGGTGATCCTGAGACAGGTGGTCCTGAGACAGGTGATCCTGAGACAGGTGATCCTGGACAGGTGGTCCTGAGACAGGTGGTCCTGAGACAGGTGGTCCTGAGACAGGTGATCCTGAGACAGGTGGTCCTGAGACAGGTGGTCCTGAGACAGGTGGTCCTGAGACAGGTGATCCTGAGACAGGTGGTCCTGAGACAGGTGGTCCTGAGACAGGTGATCCTGAGACAGGTGGTCCTGAGACAGGTGGTCCTGAGACAGGTTGTCCTGAGACAGGTGATCCTGAGACAGGTGGTCCTGAGACAGGCGGTCCTGAGACAGGCGATCCTGAGACAGGTGATCCTGAGACAGGTGGTCCTGAGACAGGTGGTCCTGAGACAGGTGGTCCTGAGACAGGTGATCCTGAGACAGGTGGTCCTGAGACAGGTGGTCCTGAGACAGGTGGTCCTGAGACAGGTGATCCTGAGACAGGTGGTCCTGAGATAGGTGGTCCTGAGACAGGTGATCCTGAGACAGGTGGTCCTGAGACAGGTGATCCTGAGACAGGTGATCCTGAGACAGGTGGTCCTGAGACAGGTGGTCCTGTGACAGGTGGTCCTGAGACAGGTGGTCCTGAGACAGGTGATCCTCAGACAGGTGATCCTCAGACAGGTGATCCTCAGACAGGTGATCCTCAGACAGGTGGTCCTCAGACAGGTGATCCTCAGACAGGTGATCCTCAGACAGGTGATCCTCAGACAGGTGATCCTCAGACAGGTGATCCTCAGACAGGTGATCCTCAGACAGGTGGTCCTCAGACAGGTGGTCCTCGACAGGTGGTCCTCAGACAGGTGGTCCTCCGACAGGTGATCCTCAGACAGGTGGTCCTCAGACAGGTGATCCTCAGACAGGTGATCCTCAGACAGGTGGTCCTCAGACAGGTGATCCTCAGACAGGTGATCCTCAGACAGGTGGTCCTCAGACAGGTGGTCCTCAGACAGGTGGTCCTCAGACAGGTGGTCCTCAGACAGGTGATCCTCAGACAGGTGGTCCTCAGACAGGTGATCCTCAGACAGGTGATCCTCAGACAGGTGGTCCTCAGACAGGTGGTCCTCAGACAGGTGGTCCTCAGACAGGTGGTCCTCAGACAGGTGATCCTCAGACAGGTGGTCCTCAGACAGGTGGTCCTCAGACAGGTGGTCCTCAGACAGGTGATCCTCAGACAGGTGGTCCTCAGACAGGTGGTCCTCAGACAGGTGGTCCTCAGACAGGTGGTCCTCAGCATTATAATAATCAGGCACCTCTTAAGTGGACTACAGAAGGTTACTAGTTGAACTTATAGACTAGTATATTCTTCACTAAATGTAAACATATACTACATTAAACACACACACAAAAAAATGCAAAATTACTGAAATATTTCGTGAAGGTTTTAAGTAATTTTTAATGATAAAGGAGTTTTACGTTAGAACTTTAACTGTCCCATTCATCGACAACTCTATTTCCAAACCAATATTTTCCTATATCCTTTTAAAATTTAAACTTAGCCTATTTGAATCCAATATTTTGAGTTGTTTCTCAAAGGGATATCCTCAGGACCTTAGATATATCTACTTCATGATCCTCAGGACCTTAGATATATCTACTTCATGATCCTCAGCCAGATACTCTTCATGATCCTCAGGACCTTAGATTATCTACTTCATGATCCTCAGGACCTTAGATATATCTACTTCATGATCCTCAGGACCTTAGATATATCTACTTCATGATCCTCAGGACCTTAGATATATCTACTTCATGATCCTCAGGACCTTAGATATTATCATGATCTCGGACCTGATTTCTACTTCATGATTCTCAGGACCTTAGATATGTCTACTTTATGATCCTCAGGACCTTAGATATATCTACTTCATGATCCTCAGGACCTTAGATATATCTACTTCATGATCCTCAGGACATTAGATATACAGTGGTCCCTCAATAATCGTCCGGCCTGAAAGTCGTCCATTTCGGAAATAGTCCCGTTATTTCGTCTAAACATTGACTCGCAAATGGTTCGTTAACTCGCTAATCGTCTTGCGTCCTGGAAGCATACTCACGGCTCTGAGCCGTTGTTTACCATTGAGTGACAGTCCCCTCACGTGTTCATACGAAATATTTCATAATATTCCATTCATTTTAGTGCTTGCAAGTGCTAAATAAGCTACCATGGCTCCAAAGAAAGCTCCTAGTACCAAGCCTTTGGTAAAGAAGGTGAGAAATACGATTGAATTTAAGAAAAACATCATTGAACAATATGAAAGTGGCATACGTGTGGCCGAACTGGCCAGGATGTATAACAAACCCGATACAACCATATCTTCCATCGTGGCAAAGAAAAAGGAAATCAAGGAAGCTGTTGTTGCATGGAGAAAATTGTGGCCAGATTGTGTCCACAAGAGGGATTTTGAAGGGTTTGTGGCTGACCTTGATGAACCTGTCAGTTGTGAACTCTATTGTGGCACTGGGGAGTTCCATGGGGTTGGATGTGAGTTTGGAGGATGTGGAAGAGTTGGTGGAGGACCACAATGAAGAGCTAACCACTGAGGAGCTGCAAGAGCTTCAGCAGGAACAGCAACAGATTGCAGCTCAGAATCTTGCTGCAGAGGAGGAGGAAGAGAGATGGAGGAAGGTGCCTTCTTCAGAAATTAAGGAGATTTTTGAAATGTGGGGTAGGATGGAAAGATTTATGGAGAAACATCACCCTGAGAAGGATGTTGCAAGCCATATCGGCAACTTGTACAGTGACAGAGTCTTGGCCCATTTTAGGGAAGTTTTAAAGAGACGCCAGAAACAGAGCTCTCTGGACAGTTTTTTTGCGAGACAGGACTCCAGTGACTCAAGCTGGTCCTAGTGGCATTAAGAAACAGAGAAGAGAAGTAACCCCAGAAAAGCACTTGGTACCCGAGGTGTTGATGGAAGGGGATTCCCCTTCCAAACAGTAATTCAATCTCTCTTCTTCTCCAGTCTCCCATACACTAAGAAGAATCGCCAATAAAGGTAAGTGTTATGCTGTTAATGTTTCATTCATCATGTGCCATTGTATTGTTTATGTACTACATCTATAATTCATGTAAAAAAAAATTTTGTTTTAATACTTCTGGGTGTCAGGAACGGATTAATTGTATTTACATTATTTCTTATGGGGAAAATTGGTTCGAAAATCGTCTATTTCGATAATAGTCCCACTTCCAGGAATGGATTATGGATGATAATTGAGGGACCATTGTATCTACTTCATGATCCTCAGGACCTTAGATATATCTACTTCATGATCCTCAGGACCTTAGATATATCTACTTCATGATCCTCAGGACCTTAGATATATCTACTTCATAATCCTCAGGACCTTAGAGATATCTGCTTCATGGTCCTCAGGACCTTAGAGATATCTACTTCATGGTTCTCAGGATCTCAGATATATCTGCTTTATGTCCATAATGGATTGAACTTGTTTACAAAGATATTTATTGATCTGTCATTCTTCCTCTAATTTCAGATTTTTAGCATCAGTCTTCGAACTGAATATGACCACGTAATGGGAATTTCAAGGACCCCAGTGGGTTATCCTGGAGGGTAATTTACACTATGTATGATAATTGTAATTATGAGTACCTGTAACTAAATAAGTTACGTATTTACTAATTCTTAGTTAGTTTAATATCTTCATTATGCAGCCCATACCCATCCTGTGGGCAGTAGTCAAAAGATTACAGAGGTACATAATGGGTCCAGGGACTGTATCTCAACATTACAGAGGTACATAATGGGTCCAGACACTGTACCTCAATATTACAGAGGTACATAATGGGTTCAGGGACTGTACCTCAACATTACAGAGGTACATAATGGGTTCAAGGACTGTACCTCAACATTACAGAGGTACATAATGGGTTCAGGGACTGTACCTCAACATTACAGAGGTACATAATGGGTTCAGGGACTGTACCTCAACATTACAGAGGTACATAATGGATCCAGGGACTGTATTTCAACATTACAGAGGTACATAATGGGTCCAGGGACTGGACCCCAAAGTTTTGATACAAGTTGCTAACTCTGCATGATGTATAGGCAGGAAATATGGAGAGGAATGAGTCGGTAGTGAAGGTTGATACACAAGAGTGTGATGACCTTCGTCACTGGGATCCACGAGTTGATGATTACATTGACCTGAAAAACTCAAGAATAACCACTGCTGGACCAGGTGCTAACTTCTCTCGATGTAATAACCTGTAAGTTGTTTAACACTAATGGTTTTTGTAGATTACTCTTGTGAAATTCTATGTTGACAGAAGGGAAATATTTAACTCAGTAATGCACCTCAAGAATACAATTCTGAGGTAGGTATTAAAATATATACGGTAGAACCCGTGTATCCACTGATTCAGTATCAGAGGTTTCAGTTATCCACAATTTACTGTGGCCCAAAAATACCTCTTAATTTTGTATATATGTTGGTAAAATTACCGACTATGTAAAGTAAAAGGACACAAGTGCAACTAATGTGACATGTTAGTGTGGCAACGTTTTGCTCTCCAGGAGTGAAACAGCTTGACAAAGCTCCTGGAGAGGGAAACGTTGCCACAATAAAATGTCACATTAGTTGCACTTGTGTCCTTTTACCTCTAAATTTTGCATAATAATGGACCCAAAGTGCAAAGGTGGAGAAGCTGGCAGTTCTTAAGCCTACGATAAGCTGTGAAGTGCTTCCCATCAGTGAAAAAGTGAGAATTCTCCACTTACTGTGCATAATTTATCAATTAAACTTTATAATATGTATGTAAAGGATTTACGTATAGCGTTTGTTACTATCCCGGGTTTTGGTATCCACGGCAGGTCCTTGGAACCTATCCTCCGTGGATATGGGGACTCTACTGAATGACAATGGTTGTACAAATACTGGAATAATTTAGAGAAATTTACTATCAGTACTTTAACTACAGTAATATACTATTGCTACTTTAATTACAGTTAAAGTTTAATTAACTGGAGTTAATTAAACTTTAACTGTAGTGCATTACAGAGTCAGTATTATGTAGGTAAGGAGAGTCAGTGTTATCTCAGTAAGAAGTCAATATTGTCTGGGTAAAGAGAGTCAGTATTATCTAGGTAAGGAGTGTCAGTGTTGTGTTGGTAAGGAGAGTCAGTATTATCTAGGAAAGGAGAGTCAGTATTATCTAGTAGAGAGTCAGTATTATCTAGAAAGGAGAGTCAGTATTATCTAGGTAAGGAGAGCCAGTATTATCTAGGTAAGGAGTGTCAGTGTTGTGTCGGTAAGGAGAGTCAGTATTATCTAGGTAAGGAGAGTCAGTATTATCTAGGTAAGGAGAGTCAGTATTATCTAGGTAAGGAGTGTCAGTGTTGTGTCGGTAAGGAGAGTCAGTATTATCTAGGTAAGGAGAATCAGTATTATCTAGGTAAGCGGAGTCAGTATTATCTAGGTAAGGAGAGTCAGTATTATCTAGGTAAGGAGAGTCAGTATTATCTAGGTAAGGAGAGTCAGTATTATCTAGGTAAGGAGAGTCAGTATTATCTAGGTAAGGAGAGTCAGTATTATCTAGGTAAGGAGAGTCAGTATTATCTAGGTAAGGAGAGTCAGTATTATCTAGGTAAGGAGAGTCAGTATTATCTAGGTAAGGAGAGTCAGTATTATCTAGGTAAGGAGAATCAGTATTATCTAGGTAAGGAGAGTCAGTATTATCTAGGTAAGGAGAGTCAGTATTATCTAGGTAAGGGGAGTCAGTATTATCTAGGTAAGGAGAGTCAGTATTATCTAGGTAAGGGGAGTCAGTATTATCTAGGTAAGGAGAGTCAGTATTATCTAGGTAAGGAGAGTCAGTATTATCTAGGTAAGGAGAGTCAGTATTATCTAGGTAAGGAGAGTCAGTATTATCTAGGTAAGGAGAGCCAGTATTATCTAGGTAAGGAGAGTCAGTATTATATAGGTAAGGAGAATCAGTATTATCTAGGTAAGGAGAGTCAGTATTATCTAGGTAAGGAGAGTCAGTATTATATAGGTAAGGAGAGTCAGTATTATCTAGGTAAGGAGAGTCAGTATTATCTAGGTAAGGAGAGTCAGTATTATCTAGGTAAGGAGAGTCAGTATTATCTAGGTAAGGAGATCAGATATTATCTAGGTAAGGAGAGTCAGTATTATCTAGGTAAGGAGAGTCAGTATTATTAGGTAAGGAGAGTCAGTATTATCTAGGTAAGGAGAATCAGTATTATCTAGGTAAGGAGAGTCAGTATTATCTAGGTAAGGAGAGTCAGTATTATCTAGGTAAGGGAGTCAGTATTATCTAGGTAAGGAGAGTCAGTATTATCTAGGTAAGGGGAGTCAGTATTATCTAGGTAAGGAGAGTCAGTATTATCTAGGTAAGGAGAGTCAGTATTATCTAGGTAAGGAGAGTCAGTATTATCTAGGTAAGGAGAGTCAGTATTATCTAGTAAGGAGAGCCAGTATTATCTAGTACAGGAGATCAGTATTTATATAGGTAAGGAGAATCAGTATTATCTAGGTAAGAGAGTCAGTATTTCTAGGTAAGGAAGTCAGTATTATATAGGTAGGAGTCGTATTTTAGTAAGGAGAGTCAGTATTATCTAGGTAAGGAATGCAGTATATCAGTAAGGAGAGTCATATTTATCTAGGTAAGGAGAGTCAGTATTATCTAGGTAAGGAGAGTCAGTATTATCTAGGTAAGGAGAGTCAGTATTATCTAGGTAAGGAGAGTCAGTATTATCTAGGTAAGGAGTCAGTATTATTGTAGGAGTCAGTTTTATCTAGTAGAGAGTCAGATTACTAGGTAAGGAGAGTCAGTATTATCTAGGTAAGGAGAGTCAGTATTGTCTGCATAAGGAGAGTCAGGTCAGACATATTACAACATATAATTCAAGTATGAATCCACAGTAGTTTTCTCACATTGTTTCAAGATATTTTTCATTCAAACTCCTTTAATCTTAGTTTTCAATCATTCAGACTGTTGCCATCATTTTTATGTCTTATTTTTCCACTAAAAACTATACTGCCATTTCTTCTGTAAAAATGATCCAGCAAAGATAGAAATTATTTATTTTTAATTGTTGGTTTATTTATTCATCTGATTTCTTTTTTTCTTTATTCTTGCTCTTATTTTGACAATGGCTAAATGTTTCTAATATATTTTTATTTTTTTTGTAGTGCAAGGTGTCAGGAATATGTGCGAGAGTCTCGTGGTTTGTTTGTTAACAATGTTCCCAGCTCACTCAGCTCGGTAAGTTATTTATGGGTTTGTGGCTGTTTGTTAACAATGTTCCCAGCTTACTCAGCTCGGTAAGTTATTTATGGGTTTGTGGCTGTTTGTTAACAATGTTCCCAGCTTAACTATAGCTCGTAAGTTATTTATGGGTTTGTGGCTGTTTGTTAACAATGTTCCCAGCTTACTCAGCTTGGTAAGTTATTTATGGCTTAGTTATTATGAAATCACATTCTTATTTTGTTTCTTATGCTCTTTTGGTAATGTTTATTAAAAGATTGGGTGGTAATCATGGCCTCTGTAATTATAACCGAGTTTTGTTCAGTAGTTTAGCTACACACCTGCACATAGGAGAAGACTTATGTATGGTTTGTCAACTGGACTCAAATTAGTCAGTGTTGCACCAAATGTTATCTTGCTACCAGTATTGTGCCTTTAATTTTATGATAGATCTATTTGCACCGTACATCTGTCACAGTGGTCCAAAGATAATTTTAGACAAAATTTGGTTTAGAGTTAAGTAATTGATGATAGAGGATTATTAACCCTTCAACTGTCCAAATGTAGAGCTACGTTTGCACCGCTAGTGCTCCAAATGTAGATTTATGTTTGCACTGCTAGTGCTCCAAATGTAGATCTACATTTGCACTGCTAGTGCTCCAAATGTAGAGCTATGTTTGCACCACTAGCGCTCCATACATAGATCTACGTTCTCATTTTACATGCTTTCAAATGTAAAAAAAAAATGCAGATCTACATTCAGAGTGCTAGCGATGCAAACATAGATCTACGTATGGACAGTTGAAGGGCTAAACAGTGGTCTAAAACAAAACATGAGCAAACACTGGGACATATTTATTAGAAAACATTTTGGTCCTGGGGCTGATCAAGGTCCCAGGACTGAAATGTTTCCTAACATTTCAGTCCTGGAAACGTATCCCTCGTTGATGTGGGGGATACGTTCCAAGGACTTACTGTGGATACTGAACCTGTGGATAGTAGCAGACCCTATATATAAGTCTTATACGTACCTATTATAAAATTTAATTGATAAATTATGCACAATAAGTGAAGAATTTACACTTTTTCACTGATAAGAAGCACTTCACAGCTTCTCTTAGGCCTTGAGGAACTGTCGGCTTCTCTACTTTTGCACTTTGGGTTCATTATTATGCAAAATTAAGAGGTATTTTTGGTCCACAGTAAATGGTGGATAACTAAAACCACAGATACTGAATCAGTGTATACAGGGGTTCTACTGTGTGTCCTAGTGTTGCTCATGTGTCTTTTTAAACTAATTTGTCAGTATCAGTTATCAAGTTTTACTTTTTTTATTAACACATCTTCCCACCAAGGCAGGGTGACCTGAAAATGAAGAAACATTTTCATCATCATTCATACCATCGCTGTCTTGCCAGAGGTGTGCCTACACTATAGTTAATAAACTGCAACATATCAACACCCATCCTTCAGAGTGCTGGCACTGTATTTCCCACCTCCAGGACTCAAGTCTGGCTAACTGGTACCATTATTAAAAAGTAACACATCGTGTAGGAAGTTGGAGACTTTCCTACAATTACTTTCTTTCTTTCAACACACCGGCCGCATCCCACCGAGGCGGGGTGGCCCAAAAAGAGAAAGAAAAGTTTCTCCTTGTACATTTAGTAATATATACAGGAGAAGGGGTTACTAGCCCCTTGCTCCCGGCATTTTAGTCGCCTCTTACAACACTCATGGCTTACGGAGGAAGAATTCTGTTCCCCATTACATTGATACATATTTAAGTTGCCAAAAAATATTGACACCTCTTGTAAGTTTGTTTTTTATTAAATCATACAAGCAATTTATTCATATAAATAAATTCAGACATAGGTTTATGACAATACAGTCATAATGTATGTGGTACATGTGTAGGTGGTCATCAACTTATGACGGGGTTAAGCTCTCACAAATCCGTCATGAGTCAAAAATATCGTAATTCAAATATGATGTGCTAAATTAGTCAGTAAATAACTGCTGTTACCAAATGTGTAAATAAACAAGTAATTACTGTAACTAACTAAATACCAGTATTGAAAAGTAAATAAATACAAATTTGGACTTGCTACCTTCATGCTGGGTAATTATCTTAAGTTTCATCTCCACAGTACAGGTACCATCCGACTTACAACCGAGTTCGCTTACGACCAACCGGTCATAAGTTGAAATGGACGTAAGTCGAACCTTACTACTGAATATCAACATCACATTTTTGTAATGACTTTATTTTATTTTGGTATTTCATTTTTTACTTTACTTTTTATGCTGTTAGTACTGTATTTTATACTGTAAGGTTTAGGATAAACACTGTGTACAACACAAACACTTGTTTATTTCCCAGAAATTTGGCATACAAAACATGGTCGTACGTCAAATGGTCGTATGTTGAGCAGGTCGTAAGTCGGTTGGTGGGTGTAATTGCTTTTGCACCATCGTCAAGTTGAAATAAAATAAGTCGAGGAGCATCTGTATTTTCAAAGCTTATATTATGTTTAGTGTAATGATTTGATAATTAATATTATTTGTGGTTCTGTATATGACCCCATTTGTTATTGATCTTTTTGCATATTTATATGTTATTGATCTTTTTATGGTTATGGATTTATGGTTATTGATCTTTTCATGTATTTATGTGTTCGCACTCCAACAGTGCTTGATGCACTGTTGGTGTGTGAACACTGTAACAATGCTCGATGCACTGTTAGAGTGTGAACACTGTAACAGTGCTTGATGCACTGTTGGTGTGTGAGCACTGTAACAATACTCGATGCACTGTTGGAGTGTGAACACAGTAACAGTGCTTGATGCACTGTTGGAGTGTGAACACAGTAACACTTATGAAGGGATTTAGGGAAAACTGGTTGGCCAAACTTGAGTCCTGGAGGTCTGTACTCTGAAAGATGGGTGAGAGAGAGGTTTCAGTGGGAGGTACAGTGCCTGTACTCTGAAAGATGGGTGAGAGAGAGGTTTCAGTGGGAGGTACAGTGCCTGTGCTCTGAAAGATGGGTGAGAGAGATGTTTCAGTGGGAGGTACAGTGCCTGTACTCTGAAAGATGGGTGAGAGAGATGTTTCAGTGGGAGGTACAGTGCTTGTACTCTGAAAGATGGGTAGTGGGATGCTGCAGTCAAAGGGTCATCTGAATTGTGATGTCAGTTTACTTCTGGCAAGGCAGCAGTTGAATGAATAGTGGTGGATGTGTTTTATTTTTTAGGTCACCCCACCTTATCAGATGACCACTGAAATAGCAACAAAAATACTATAACAATTATTTATGAAGAAGCATAGCATGTTAGTGGCTTTTGTGCCCACCAATATTTAATTATATGTGAACTACATTACCTGTATACTGCAGAAAAGAAATTACACCTACCATCCGACTTACGACCGAGTTCGGTTCCGAGAAACCGGTCGTAAGTCGAAATGGTCGTAAGTCGAACTTTACTACTGAATATCAACAAAACATTTTTGTAATGACTTTATTTTATTGTTTTATTTTGGTATTTCATGTTTTACTTTACTTTTTATGCTCTTAGTACTGTATTTTATACTGTAAGGTTTAGGATAAACACTGTGTACAACACAAATACTTGTTTATTTCCCAGAAATTTGGCATAAAAAACACGGTCATAAGTCAGTGGTCGTAAGTCGAGCAGGTCGTAAGTCGGATGGTAGGTGTAATTTAACCTCTCCTCACTTAGTGACGTAACTGTTTACCAGCAATTCAGACTTACAACTGGCTCTCTGACTAGTACGCATACTTATATAATGTATATTAGAGCTGATTTCTTCTATTCTGTTTCTTATAATATACAGTACATTACTGTATAAACATTTAAAAATACAGTAGTACCTCAAGTTTCATACATAATTCATTCCAGACGGCTGTTCAAGTGCTGTTACCAAACAAATTTATTCTCATAAGGAATAATGCAAATTAGATTAGTCCATTTCAGACCCCCAAAAATACACTTAAAAAAGCACTTACAATAATTTTTTTTTTTCAACACACCGGCTGTATCCCACCAAGGCGGGGTGGCCCAAAAAGAAAACCGAAAGTTTCTCTTTTTAAATTTAGTAATTTATACAGGAGAAGGGGTTACCAGCCCTTTGCTCCCGGCATCTTAGTCGCCTCTTACAACACGCATGGCTTACAGAGGAAGAATTCTGTTCCACTTCCCCATGGAGATAAGAGGAAATAAACAAGAACTAGTAAGAAAATAGAAGAAAACCCAGAGGGGGTGTGTGTATATATATGCTTGTACATGTATGTGTAGTGTGACCTAAGTGTAAGTAGAAGTAGCAAGACGTACCTAAAATCTTGCATGTTTATGAGACAGACAAAAGACACCAACAATCCTACCATCATATAAAACAATTATAGGCTTTCGTTTTACACTGACTTGGCAGGACGGTAGTACCTCCCTGGGTGGTTGCTGTCTACCAACCTACTACCTATAACTTACAATAATACACTTACATAATTGCTCGAGTTGGGAGCTGTTCGAAACTTGTGGTACCACTGCATACCAAAAATGTCATGAAATTGTGCAAAGGTGGCATTAAAACAATATCAAAGATGGTTGACACAAACCCACTACCATTATAGTATGTTCCTCACTTAGTAACAAATTCGTTTACCGACGTGGTCTTAGGAAAGGAACTCCGTCGTTTAGTGAGGAGAGGCTGTATACATATTTGTATTATTCTCATACACATTTATACATTTAACATGAGCTCAGATTTTAACATTTAAGGTGTACTGATCAAATCTAACCAAAAATGTTACTTTTAGACAAATGATGCGTAATGTTTTACCGCAGGAGTCTCTGAAGATGATGTTTAGTGAGCATGGTAAAGTTCTTAGTGTGTTTAAGAAGCCCAGCCAGGACTTTGTGTCTTCTCCAGTGTCTTGGGCTATTGTTAAAGTGGCCACTATGAGGTGGGTTATTTTGTTAAAGTGGCCACTATGAGGTGGGTTATTTTGTTAAAGTGGCCACTATGAGGTGGGTTATTTTGTTAAAGTGGCCACTATGAGGTGGGTTATTTTGTTAAAGTGGCCACTATGAGGTGGGTTATTTTGTTAAAGTGGCCACTATGAGGTGGGTTATTTTGTTAAAGTGGCCACTATGAGGTGGGTTATTTTGTTAAAGTGGCCACTATGAGGTGGGTTATTTTGCACTTTTATTCATGTGTTCATTTTCATTTTCTTACATAATATATTTAGGATGGGCTAAATGATGTTACAATGAAACCTCAGTTTGTTGGACTATTAGGGTAGTCGGGAGATTTGTTGCCTAATGCTAATTGTCCATTAAATATGAATAAAATTGTTATCCATGATAGTAACAATAATGGGCATTTCTGGATTTAACGTGCATTGTCCGTTAAATCCAGAATTTATCAAATCAGGTTCCTTTAAATTGAGGTTTTTACTTTGTATTTTAATTAATTAAGCAGATCAAAATTACATCATGTTCCATATATGTATTGTAAACCTTACTTAATTATTGCTTCATTAACGAATTGATTAACAGAAATTAGTTAAATCTCTGTTATGTTTCATATTTTTTATTGTTTTGCTGTGAAAATTATGTTGCTGCCACATCAGTGTTACATATGCCACATGCTTGCACATGTACAGAAACACACATGCATGTGTACAGAAACACACATACACATGTGCAGAAACACACATACATATGTGCAGAAACACACACACACACATGCAGAAACACACATACACATGTGCAGAAACACACATGTACATGTGCAGAAGCACACATGTACATGATACCCTCTCCTGCTTATAGAAAGGAAAATTATTAAGTGTTGTGGTGAAGACAGTTGAGTGATGTGTGTCAGTGTCCTCTAACATGTAGACAGTTGAGTGATGTGTGTCAGTGTCCTCTAACATGAAGACAGTTGAGTGATGTGTGTCAGTGTCCTCTAACATGTAGACAGTTGAGTGATGTGTGTCAGTGTCCTCTAACATGAAGACAGTTAAGTGATGTGTGTCAGTGTCCTCTAACATGTAGACAGTTGAGTGATGTGTGTCAGTGTCCTCTAACATGAAGACAGTTGAGTGATGTGTGTCAGTGTCCTCTAACATGAAGACAGTTAAGTGATGTGTGTCAGTGTCCTCTAACATGAAGACAGTTGAGTGATGTGTGTCAGTGTCCTCTAACATGTAGACAGTTGAGTGATGTGTGTCAGTGTCCTCTAACATGAAGACAGTTGAGTGATGTGTGTCAGTGTCCTCTAACATGTAGACAGTTGAGTGATGTGTGTCAGTGTCCTCTAACATGAAGACAGTTGAGTGATGTGTGTCAGTGTCCTCTAACATTAGACATTGAGTGATGTGTGTACGTGTCATCTAACATGAAGACAGTTGAGTGATGTGTGTCATGTCCTCTAACATGTAGACAGTTGAGTGATGTGTGTCAGTGTCCTCTAACATTGAAGACAGTTAAGTGATGTGTGTCAGTGTCCTCTACATGTAGACAGTTGAGTGATGTGTGTCAGTGTCCTCTAACATGAAGACAGTTGAGTGATGTGTTCAGTAGTCCTCTAACATGAAAAACAGTTAAGTGATGTGTCAGAATGTCCTCTAACATGAAGACAGTTGAGTGATGTGTGTCAGTGTCCTCTAACATGTAGACAGTTGAGTGATGTGTGTCAGTGTCCTAACATGAAGAACAGTGAGTGATGTGTGTCAGTGTCCTCTAACATGAAGACAGTTAAGTGATGTGTGTCAGTGTCCTCTAACATGAAGACAGTTAAGTGATGTGTGTCAGTGTCCTCTAACATGTAGACAGTTGAGTGATGTGTGTCAGTGTCCTCTAACATGAAGACAGTTGAGTGATGTGTGTCAGTGTCCTCTAACATGAAGACAGTTGAGTGATGTGTGTCAGTGTCCTCTAACATGAAGACAGTTGAGTGATGTGTGTCAGTGTCCTCTAACATGAAGACAGTTGAGTGATGTGTGTCAGTGTCCTCTAACATGAAGACAGTTGAGTGATGTGTGTCAGTGTCCTCTAACATGTAGACAGTTGAGTGATGTGTGTCAGTGTCCTCTAACATGAAGACAGTTAAGTGATGTGTGTCAGTGTCCTCTAACAAGAAAAGAGCTCTTCAGATCATTAATTCTCCACGCACCAACACCACCCCCAACAAAGTTATAATTCTTCCCAACAGCCAGGTTGCACTGAACGTTTCAAAAGTACTTTCACAAGCTAACACCAGAGTCGCCATCGCTTCTAGCACTTCAATAAAGGATCTAACCAGGACAAAATCCAAGCACCACGAACCAGTCAATGCAGGAGTTTACACTATACCCTGTGGAGGCTGTGACAAGATTTACGTAGGTGAAACAGCAAGAAGCCTCGACACCCGCCTCAATGAACACATTTATGCATGTAGGAACGATAACTTGAACAACGCCTGTGTACAACACCGAAATTTCACCAATCATCTCATGAAATTCAGAGACGCCCAATTAGTGATCAAAGAAACTAATTTCCGCAGACTCAAGTGCCTTGAATCAGCACTGATCGCTGTTTCGAATACAATTAAACAAAACAACGGCAGCTTCACCATCTCCGAAGTCTTAGCAAGAATCCTCCTGAAAACAGTAAACCCTGCCATCACATAGTCTCTCCTGTTATACTACACAAAGCACATTACAGAGAGTGAACACTGAAACAAGCTGCCTCTTTCCAGTCTATATTTGTCCAACCTATTTTTATGTTACCCAAGTAATAGCTTTTATATCCTTTTACTCATGTACGAATTAATTGCTCTACCATATTGTATTACTTTTGTCACTACTACTACTATTACTACTACTACCACTAGTGAACATCAAAATGGTACCTCTCTAGTATTGCACCTCACTCTGAGCCTTTATATACCCTCTGTGTTCATGTATTGTTTGTAATGGCTTGATAAAGCTCCTGGAGAGCGAAACGTTGCCACAATTAAATGTCATATTAGTTGCACTTGTGTCCTTTTACTTTACTAAACATGAAGACAGTTGAGTGATGTGTGTCAGTGTCCTCTAACATGAAGACAGTTGAGTGATGTGTCAGTGTCCTCTAACATGAACACAAGAACATAAGAAAGAAGGAACACTGCAGCAGGCCTACTGACCCATGCAGAGCAGGTCCATGTCCCCCCCTCACCCCCGGATTAGCCCAATGACCCACCCAGTCTGGTCACCTCCACTCAAGGAAGGAGCACGGCACCAGACCCAGCAGCACAAGCTAGTCAGGTCCAACTCACACCCACCCACACCCTCTCTTGTATTTATCTAACCTATTTTTAAAACTACACAACGTTTTAGCCTCAAGAACTGTACTCGGGAGTTTGTTCCACTCATCCACAACTCTATTACCAAACCAGTGCTTTCCTATATCCTTCCTGAATCTGAATTTTTCCAGCTTGAAACCATTGCTGCGAGTTCTGTCTTGGCTGGAAATTTTCAGCACGCTATTTACATCCCATTTATTTATTCCTGTTTTCCACTTATACACCTCAATCATGTCCCCCCCTAATTCTATGCCTTTCGAGAGAGTGCAGATTCTGGGCCCTTGGTCTATCCTCATTGGGAAGATTTCTGATACGTGGGATCATCTTTGTCATCTCACTTAGAATATTGCCCAGTGCTGACGGCCCCGTTTAGGGCAGGAGAAATATTTGAGCTGGAGCAAATACAGAGATCGTTTACTGCTCACATTGAGCCAGTGAAGCACCTAAACTACTGGGAACACCTGCAAGTCTTGAACATGTACTCACTGGAGCGGAGGAGAGAGAGGTACATGATAATATGTACCTGGAAGGTACTCGAGGGCTTGGTCCCAAATCTGCACACTGCCATAACAACATACTGGAGTGAGAGATATGGGAGGAAGTGTAAAATAAACCCAGTGAGGAGCAGGGGTGCGATGGGGACAATAAGGGAACACCATATCAACATCCGGGGTCCCAGACTTTTCAACATCTTACCAGAAGATATCAGAAACACTGCTGGAACAAGTGTTGAAGCCTTCAAGAGGAAACTAGACAAGTATCTTAACCAGGTGCCAGATCAACCAGGCTGTGATGGATATGTGGGGCAGCGGGCCTCCAGCAGCAGCAGCCTGGTTGACCAGGCGAGCATCAGATGAGCCTGGCCCACGGCTGGGCTCAGAGAGTAGATATACTCTCAAAATTCTTCAAAGGTATAAAGCTCCTCTGTACGTTTTCCAGAGCATTTATATCCATTCTGTAATACAGTGACCAGAACTGAGCAGCATAGTCTAAATGAGGTCTAACCAAGGATATATAGAGTTGAAGAACAACCTGAGGACTTCTATTATTTATACGTACTTCTAGATATGAAGCCAAGAATTCTGTTAGCTTTATTGCAAACACTAATGTACTGCTGTCTTGGTTTTAGATTACTGCTAACCAGAACTCCTAAATCCTTATTGCAATCAGTAGTATTAAGATCTACATTATTTAGTGTATATGTGGCGTGGTTGTTTTCCTGTCCAACATTTAGAACTTTGCATTTGTCTATATTAAACTGCATCTGCCACTTCTCCGACCATTGCATCAGTCTATTCAAATCATCCTAGAGTGCTCTAGTGTCCTCATTAGAATGAATTGGACGGCCTATTTTGGTGTCTCAGCAAATTTGCTTATGTTGCTATTTATTCCCTTATCTACGTCGTTTATGTAAATTGTGAACGACAACGGTCCCAACACTGACCCCTGTGAAACACCGCTTGTGACGTGCCCCCATTCTGATTATTTCCCCATTTATGCAAATTCTTTGCTGCCTATTTGTCAGCCATGCCTCTACCCAGGAAAAAATTTCTCCTCCTATTCCGTGTGCCTTAAGTTTCCTCAATGGTCTCTGATGTGGAACTCTATCGAAGACAGTTGAGGAATGTGTGTTAATGTCCTCTAACATGAAGACAGTTAAGTGATGTGTGTCAGTGTCTTCTAACATGAAGACAGTTAAGTGATGTGTGTCAGTGTCTTCTAACATGAAGACAGTTAAGTGATGTGTGTCAGTGTCTTCTAACATGAAATGGGCAGTTAAGTGATGTGTGTCAGTGTCTTCTAACATGAAGACAGTTAAGTGATGTGTGTCAGTGTCTTCTAACATGAAGACAGTTAAGTGATGTGTGTCAGTGTAGTCTAACATATACAGAAAATATTAGTTTTAAAAGTTTTCTGAGTTAAGAAAGTTTTATATGGATTTTGAAAAACAATTCATAAAGAAAAGCCGTAGTAGGAAGCACCAGTCAAAGATTGGTCATGACTTCACACCAACAGCAGTAACAAAGAAGAGAATTGGTGGAACTGGTATGGTGATACCAGTATCAATAAGTTGTAGGTAAGGTATGATAAGATTTTGTTGGGATTTTCAACCCCAGAGTGTTAGCTATCCAGGATAACCCAAGAAAGTCAGTGCCTCGTCAAGGACTGTCTGTTTTATTTCCATTGTGGTCCTTCAGTTTTGTCCCCCAGGATGCCACCTACATCAGTCCACTAACACCCAGGTACTGTACCTACTTACTGCTAGGTGGAACAGAGACAGCAGGTATTTTAAAGAAATCCCCGGCCGGGGATTATCAGGGAGACTGAGTGTGTGAGGCGAGAGCATTGTCAACCAGGCCTCAGGACACCTTCACATACACATCCTGATCAAGACATTTACTTATGGCAAAACATTTCCTCACTAATTGTCTTGATCAGTGCATACATGTCTCTTGTGTAGTAGTTATTAAACAGTGTATGTTGGAGTTAGCCAGGTGTTGAGGGTGGCATTGTAGTGAAGGACCGTAAGATATTACTGGAAATGAGCAACACTGCTTGGCTATCTTGGGTTATCCTCAGTTATTTATCCCAGGATACACACTCTAAGTCAAACTGTATTCATGTCTGTGTGCCATGCAAAAAAAAAAAAAAAAAACAGTAAAATCATGTGGGTTATCATCTATTTTGTTTTCAAAGGGATGCAATGTCGATGATAGCTGCACTGAACTCTAAGTCACCTCTGAAACTGAGGGTGGAACTGGCACTGACTGAACAAGAGAGGACGATGCGACACAGAGAGAGAGAGGCAGAAAAGAAATTTCAACAGGAAGTAAATATAACTAATTTCTTTTTTACTATATTATCCATTTGTTACCCAGATAGGCTTACCAGGTAGGCTTACCAGGTAGGCTGACCCCAAAGAAGAAAACCCATTCACCATCCTTTTCTCATCAATAGTTGTCTTGCTAGAGGTGAGTGGGCATCACGGTTTATATGACAGTATGAAATACAGCCTCTGTGTTCATTGTTCAGAGTGCAGACACTGTACTTCTCACCTCCAGGACTCAAGCCCAGTTAACGAGTTTCCCTGAATCCCTTCATGCATGTTACCTTGCTCACACTCCAACAGCATATCAAGTCATAAAAACCACTTGCCTCCCCTCACACCTGTCATGCTCACACATGCCTACTGGATGTCCAAGCCTCTCACAACAAAACTTTCTTTAGCCCGTCCCTCCAACGTTTTCTAGGAGGACCCCTACCCCTCCTTCCCTCCACTATAGATTTATATGCCCTCCAAGTCATCCTATTGTGCTTCATCCTCTCTAAATGTCCAAAGAACCTCAACAACCCCTTCTCAGCCCTCTGGATAATAATTTTAGTATAGTGGACCCCCGACTAACGATCAGCTCCCAACTCGACCAATTATGTAAGTGTATTTTTGTAAGTGCTTTTGTAGGTGTATTTTTGGGGGTCTGAAACAGACTAATCTAATTCACAATATTCCTTATGGGAACAAATTCGGTCTATAACGGCACCCGATCAGACTTCTGGATTGAAATAATATCGTTAGTCGGGGGTCCACTGTAATTATGAATTCTCTGCATAATATTCATGCCATACATTGCTGTCAGACACAACATCTTCACTGCCTCTGGCTTACTACTTGCTACAACATTTAAAACTCACGCTTCACACACATACAGTGGTACCTCGGGATACGAACAGCTCAAAACTCGAACAATTATGAAAGTGTATTTATGCAAGTGCTTTTGTAAGTGTAGTTTTGGGGGTCTGAAACGGATTAACCCGTAAACGGTCCAAGCAGATCTACGTTCACATGTGTAGTGCTACAAAAGTAGATCTACGTTTTTTTTACATATTTTTAAATACTGTATAACAAAAAAAAAAAGTAGACCAAAGTTTTTTACACATTTTCAAATGTAAAAAAAACAAAAAAAAGATCTACTTTTTTTACATACTTTCAAATGTTGAAAAAACGTATATATACGTTTGGACCGTTTACGGGTTAATCTACTTTACATTATTCCTTATGGGAACAAATTTGTTTGGTATCGGCACTTGAACAGCCTTCTGGAACAAATTAATTTTGTATCCCAAGGCGCCACTGTACAAGAGTGTTGGTACCCCTATTCTTTTATACATTCTTCTATTTTGCTTCTTTAGACACTGTTCTTTGTCTCTGCAGATGCCTCAGTGCACAACCCACCATTTTCTTCTCACCAGTCTATGGTTTACCTCGTCTTTCATAGACTCGTCTGCCAACACCTCCACTCACAAATATCTGAACATATTCACTTCTTCCACATTCCATCTCTCCGATCTCTTATCCAATCTTTCATTACCTCAATTTTTTGTTACTCTCATCACCTTGCTCTTTCCTTTGTTTCCTTTTAAGTTCCTTCTTTTAATTTTACATATTATGATTATTATTACTATCATTATTATTATTATTATTATTTATATTTTTATTAACACACTGGCCGATTCCCACCAAGGCAGGGTGTCCCGAAAAAGAAAATCTTTCACCATCATTCACTCCATCACTGTCTTGCCAGAAGGGTGCTTTACACTACAGTTTTTAAACTGCAACATTAACATTATTAATATTTTAGTATAGTAATAGTAAATTATGTCAGTCAGTTGCATTTATTAAAGTGTAATGAAGTTATCAAGATATTAAAGACTTTTAATGTGTTGTAACAGGTTGAAGCTCTTACTGTGAGAAGAATTAGTGCCACCGATTACTACTTAAATAATCCATCTGTACACTTAACATCTTCCACAAAATGTCAACCAACTGGACAAGATGGAGAGGCGCTGTCTTCATTGTCTGTAAATGTAAGTCTCTTTGTGAAAGTTTTACTTTACTTTGTGGGTCTGTTCTTTTTCTCCTTATTATGCTGTTTAGAGGGACATCTAAACTGTCCTATCTGTGTGCATCTGGCAAGACAGTGATTGTGTGAATGGTGGTGAAAGTGTTTCTTTTTTTGGGTCACCCTGTCTCAGTGGGAGACGACCAGCGTGTTAAAAAGAAAAAAAGCTTATCTTACATTACATTATGCATTTCCTGACAGTCATAGATTTTATCTCCACTATTTTTAATTAGTATTTGATGTTTGATCTTAGTCTAGATAATTTTTTCCATGTCAGAACTAATTCATATAAATACTGTATATATATACCTGAAAATATTAAGAAGGTTAAGGCAGGCAAAACTGTAGCTACAGTCTTATTGAGTTGTTATTATTATACAACTTAAAGCTTGAGATGACTTTAGGGAAGGTTATCAAAACCTGTAGCTGCCATATTCAAAATAATACTTTTCTAACCACTTTCCTTGCTGCTGCTGCTGCTGCTGCTGCTGCTACTGCTGCTACTGCTGCTACTGCTGCTACTGTCTTGATATTTTCTTGTTAGCTGCTTCAGCTTAGCTTTTGTACTAGTCCTTTGTGTGGTACTGTGTCAGAAGCCTTCCTGTATCCCTCTGTCTTCTCTCTTACTTTTACCCTGTCATAGACCTTCAGTAGGTTTGTGAGTCAGGATTTATCATCTCTGAAGCCATACTGGTTATCATGTATGAATCCACTCCTCTCTAGATGTTCCACCACACTTCTTCTGATAATCTTCTCCATAACCTCACATACCGTACATATCAGTGACACTAGTTTGTAGTTTAATGCTACCTGTTTGTCTCCTGGGAATCTAAACTAAGACCTTTCAGGTGTGAGTTGATTGTTCTACCACTTAAATACTGCACAGCCTCTCCTTCCTCTCAAGGCTGAGACAGTATGTATTAATATATCTTTCCCAGTTGTCATGTACACTATTTTAAAAACTTGCTGAGCATGAGTATTACCTAAATACTTTTATTGAAGCCAAGTAGATGTGAAATATTGAGTGAACGTTACATTGGGAAGGTTATTGCGGGAAGAACTCTGGGTTTGATGAGGTCTCATTATTGAGTGAATGTTACATTGGAAAGGTTATTGTGGGAAGAACAATGGTTTTCAAGAAGTCTGAAGAGCCTTAGATGATTTTTTTAGATTTCAAGGGTGAATAGAAATTCTGCATATTTTGTAATATATTTTAAAATGACCAACATTTGATAATGTTTTCTTATTTTCAGCCCAATGAAAGATTGTTGATGAATGGTCAGCAAGAGGAGGTCATCTCTGCCAGTAAACATCGGTATGGTGTTAGGAGATTGTTCCAACAAGTTCAGTGGTATAGTTAATGTATTAGTTAATCTTAAGTTAATTTTAAGCCTGCCCGTAATGCTATGCATTCAAGTGGCTTTGGCATGCTGCGTTTAACTGTATTCTTTTGTACTTCTCTGTATCATGTTCAAATTAATAATTTTTTTTTTTTTTTTCAACAAGTCGGCCGTCTCCCACCGAGGCAGGGTGACCCAAAAAAGAAAGAAAATCCCCAAAAAGAAAATACTTTCACCATCATTCAACACTTTCATCACACTCACACATAGTCACTGTTTTTGCAGAGGTGTTCAGAATACAACAGTTTAGAAGCATATACATATAAAGATACACAACATATCCCTCCAAACTGCCAATATCCAAAACCCCTCCTTTAACCCTTTGAGGGTTTCGGCCGTACTAGTACGGCTTACGACCCAGGGTTTTTGACATACTAGTACGCCTAAATTCTAGCGCCCTCAAATCTAGTGGGAGAAAGCTGGTAGGCCTACTTATGAAAGAATGGGTCTATGTGGTCAGTGTGCACAGTATAAAAAAAATCCTGCAGCACACAGTGCGTAATGAGAAAAAAAAACTGACCGTTTTTTTGGAATAAAACAACAACTTTTCACTGTATTTTCGTATGGTATTTATTGTTGTATTCTAGTTTTCTTAATCGCATTTTATAGAATGGAAGACATATTACAGAAATTGAGATGATTTTGACTGGTTTTACAATGAAAAGTACTTTGAAATTGAGCTCAAAGTAGCAGAAATGTTCGATTTTTACCAAAGTTCAAAAGTAAACAAATCATGCCAAGTGTCCAATACACGTCAACCAGTGAGTCTAATATTCTTTTGCAAGTGCGCCAATATTATTTATATCATTTTTTACACTAATGCAGTAGTCTGCATAACAGTAAATCCTCTATTTTTTGTGAGAATAAAAATTCAAAGTGAAAAGCAAAAGAATGTAAGAGGGGCCTTGAGACGTGGCTAATGAACAGAGGAAATGTCATTTTAGTGCCAGGAATGTCTTTCTTGTTTATTCTGGACCCTATTCGGAAATTGGCATCTTTGGAAATTTGTGTGAAATTGGCAAAATTGCTAAATTCTGACCACTGTATTGGATAGTTGAAATTGATAAATGGATAGTTTCTTGCACTCATTCGATAGAAAAAATGGAGTTCTAGCGAAATATTCATGTTTTTTGTCGACTAGTACAGTGGAATTGGCCGAAAATGGGGCTGAAAGTGGGCAAAATCGCCGATGCGTAAACATCGCCGAGACCGCTAACTTCGCGAGAGCATAATTCCGTAAGTTTTCCATCAAATTTCATACTTTTGGTGTCATTATGATCGGGAAAAGATTCTCTATCTTTTCATAAGAAAAAATTATTATTTTTTTTTTTTAAATTTGGCCGACCCTGAGAACGAGTCTCGGAGAGGGCCTGTCGACCCTCAAAGGGTTAAAGTGCAGGCATTGTACTTCCCATTTCCAGAACTCAAGTCCGACTATATGAAAATAACCGGTTTCCCTGAATCCCTTCACTAAATATTACCCTGCTCACACTCCAACAGATTGTCAGGAAATTAATAAATAATAAATAAATTGTGGCCCTTCATGATGGCTACATTAATCTTCTTAGTTCTAACTTGGGTACAAGTGGGCTTCACTTTACAGCACTTCGTTTTACAGTGTTTCACTAATACAGCTGTTTTTAATTATACCAATTCTTCATATATTCAGACTTCCTACAATAAATATATTCACCACTCACTATAAGCTAACAATGAAAATATTTTAAGGTAAGTAATGTGTGTACTGTATATGCATTTTTTAGGCCTAGCTTTTATATGCATCTAAAAATGAAAAAAAAAAGTCTGCTGCACATTACAGCAGTTTTTATTTTACATCAGTAGCCTGGAACCTGTTGTATAAATGGAGCAATCTTTTACTTCTTGTTATGACAACTTATTGTTTTGAGCAATAATGGAAGTTCTTTCTTCTTTCAACACACCGGCCGTATCCCACCGAGGCGGGGCGGTCCAAGAAAGGAAAAACAAAAGTTTCTCCTTTTACATTTAGTAATATATACAGGAGAAGAGGTTACTAGCCCCTTGCTCCCGGCATTTTAGTCGCCTCTTACAACACGCATGGCTTATGGAGGAAGAATTCTGTTCCATTTCCCCATGGAGATAAGAGGAAATAAACAAGAACAAGAACTAGTAAGAAAAATGGAAGAAAACCCAGAAGGGTGTATATATACATATATGCTTGTACATGTATGTGTAGTGTGACCTAAGTGTAAGTAGAAGTAGCAAGACGTACCTGTAATCTTGCATATTTATGAGACAGACAAAAGACACCAGCAATCCTACCATCATGTAAAACAATTACAGGCTTTCGTTTTACACTCACTTGGCAGGACGGTAGTACCTCCCTGGGTGGTTGCTGTCTACCATCCTACTACCTATAATAATGGAAGTTAACCCAAAAATTACAATTGAAAAACAGTCCAGAATAAACAAACAGTATATGCATTACAGACACAAAAGCAACCTTAAATCTGTTCATTAATTACATCCTCAGGCCTCTCCTACATAACACTTGCTCTCCACTTTGAATCAGTCACACAAAAAGTGGAATTTTACTGTATTTCTCGGATAATAAAATATAACCAAGAGTGATTGGTCACGGTTTAGGCTGTTCCATTGAAGAGACCAGCAGGACAGGAAGCAAATGAACAATATATTAGTATCTTTCTTTTCTACTTAACAGTACTTTATTACATGTAAACTACATCTTGTAAACTGCAGAAAGAAATAAAGTTTGTTTATGGGGGTCCTACTTTTAATTAGGAAAAAAATCACCAAAAATTTAATATTTGATCCCTTTTTCAGGCTACTTCTGGTCTGAAACCAATCACAAGCATATCTTCCATTTTCTTGCATAGGGAAGTGGAGAAAAATCCTTCCTCCATAAGCCATGTGTGTCGTAAGAAGTGACTAAAATGCCAGGAGCAAGGGGACAGTAACCCCCTTCTCCTGTACAACTTACTAAATGTAAAAAAAAGAAAAATGTTTCTTCTTTTTTGGTTCACCTGCCTTAGTGGGCGATGGCTGATGAGTTACCGAGGAATGGCAAGTAAAACCATTAAAGCCATCCTTGAAAACACCCCAAAGTCCTTATTTTAAATCAGCCCCTTTTTGTACTGCGTGGGGCAGAATTTTTTTTTATTGTACCGCGTGTTACGTCAGGGGCCATGTCTATGGGCCTGTTTGGGCCTCTTTCCGTAACAAGATGTCGAATCCAGCTCTCGTCTAGTTGTCCTTAGACACATGTCAATTTAATATGGGGATTATCATTAGGAGACTGATCCGACTAAATAAAATGTGATCTTTATTATAAAAGAATCCATATAAAACTTAGTATATGATACAAAGTTCTCTCTCTCTCTCTCTCTTGTGTAGTGCTACACATAAAAGTACACGTAGTCTGGGACTAAGTAATCTTCTAGTGCGGGGGAATGTATTAAAGGCTGAGTGCCTGAATGTGCTCAGAGCAAGGGTGGTGAACCTTCTCTGAGCAAGTGCTTATCTACTGACAGTACCACTGAGTGGTAAGCTGACGTCAGGTTGGTCACGTGACTTAGGGAGACGTCAGTACCTGAACTGCTAACTGGCATTGTAACTAGTGGTTTCCCACTACATGACAATGTTATGAAGGCCTAACAATATATTAACAATATTACCATTAACATATATAATAAAAAGGAGCACATTCTAGTATAAAATATAATGGGTATGGCCATACTTGTAACACCGCGCTCACTCACCACACAGTCTGGGCCAGAATTGTCACTCGCAGCATATTCAAGGAAGCTGAACTTAACCCTTCAACTGTCTAAATGTAGATCTACGTTTTTGCGCGTCCATTTGAAAGCATGTAAAAAAAAAAAGTAGATCTACGCTTGGACAGTTAACAGGTTAAAACACAGATGTGCATGAGTGACACTGCCATCAATAATCTCGACCTACATACAAGATGGTGGTAGCAAAACTTTCTCATAAAATAATATTTTGTAAACTCCTTACCAGTATGGAATGTTTTGTTTCTTGTGCTTCTCGAAAACATATCTCATGGCATTATTTATGCATTTTTATCATGGGGAAAGCTCTAAATCCTTATGAGTCATACAGTGCCTGGTGGGAGGAGGGATCAGAAGCAACCATGTTCAGTCCTAGGAAGATAAGTCCAAGTTCTTGGATCAAGGACTCTCTTGATTACTTATATGGAATGTGTTGTTTGTGTTTCTCTAAACAATATATTTTGATGTTGCAGCAGTACAACTTGCAGTTTTACCTCAGCACCAAGTGTGATGCCACATCAACCAAGTTACAGTGTTACCTCAGCACCAAGTGTGATGCCACATCAACCAAGTTACAGTGTTACCTCAGCACCAAGTGTGGTGCCACATCAACCAAGTTACAGTGTTACCTCAGCACCAAGTGTGATGCCACATCAACCAAGTTACAGTGTTACCTCAGCACCAAGTGTGATGCCACATCAACCAAGTTACAGTGTTACCTCAGCACCAAGTGTGATGCCACATCAACCAAGTTACAGTGTTACCTCAGCACCAAGTGTGATGCCACATCAACCAAGTTACAGTGTTACCTCAGCACCAAGTGTGATGCCACATCAACCAAGTTACAGTGTTACCTCAGCACCAAGTGTGATGCCACATCAACCAAGTTACAGTGTTACCTTTGCACCAAGTGTGGTGCCACATCAACCAAGTTACAGTGTTACCTCAGCACCAAGTGTGATGCCACATCAACCAAGTTACAGTGTTACCTTTGCACCAAGTGTGGTGCCACATCAACCAAGTTACAGTGTTACCTCAGCACTAAGTGTGGTGCCACATCAGCCAAGTTACAGTGTTACCTCAGCACCAAGTGTGGTGCCACATCAACCAAGTTACAGTGTTACCTCAGCACCAAGTGTGGTGCCACATCAACCAAGTTACAGTGTTACCTCAGCACCAAGTGTGGTGCCACATCAACCAAGGAAGGACAAGGTCAGTATATTATATTCAGTGTTCTTTATATAACTTTGAAACATTCTGCTAAATTCCTTTATTTTTATTTATTATGTACTTTTGTGAAATTTAGCAAAAAATGTAACATAAATTAGCTGTCTGCTACCACGATGTTCTGGAAGAGCTCCTGGTCTGAATAATCTCTGGAGGGGAATCTAAATTGTGATGTCAGTACACTTCTGGGAAAACAGGGATTGTATAAATGCATTTCCTTCTTTGTGTCACCCTGTCTTGGTGGGACATGGTTGGTATAGTAAATAAAAAATAATATTACTGATTTCCTTACTGGCACACACATGCACGCATCTATTGAAACATGGAGATTACCTGAGGTATGGAAGAAAGCAAATGTAGTCCCAATTTTTAAAAAAGGGGACAGACAGGAAGCACTAAACTATAGACCAGTGTGACTGACGTGTATGGTATGCAAAGTCATGGAGAAGATTGTCAGGAGAAGAGTGGTGGAACACCTAGAAAGAAATGAGCTTATCAACAACAGCCGACATGGTTTCAGGGACGGGAAATCCTGTGTCACAAATTTACTGGAGTTCTATGACAGGGTGACAGCGGTAAGACAAGGGAGAGAGGGGTGGGTAGACTGCATTTTCTTGGACTGTAAGAAGGCATTTGACACAGTTCCACACAAAAGATTAATGCAAAAACTGGAGGACCAGGCAGGGATAACAGGGAAGGCACTACAGTGGATCAGGGAATACCTGTCAGGAAGACAGCAGCGAGTCATGGTACATGGTGAAGTGTCAGAGTGGGTGCCTGTGACAGGTGGGGTTCCACAGGGGTCAGTCCTAGGACCAGTGCTGTTTCTGGTATTTGTGAATGACATGACATGAGGAATAGACTCCGAAGTGTCCCTGTTTGCAGATGATGTGAAGTTGATGAGAAGAATTCAATCAGATGAGGACCAGGAAAAGCTACAGGGATCTGGACAGAATGCAGGCCTGGTTCAGCAATTGGCTCCTGGAGTTCAATCCCACCAAGTGCAAAGTCATGAAGATTGGGAAAGGGCAAAGAAGACTGCAGATGGAGTACAGTCTAGGGGGACAGAGACTACAAACCTCACTCAAGGAATAAGATCTTGGGGTGAGTATAAAACCAGGCACATCTCCTGAGGCACACAGGGCGCCTAGCAAACCTAAAAACAGCATTCCGCCATCTTAATAAGGAATCGTTCAGGACCCTGCACACTGTGTATGGTAGGCCCATGGAAATAAATGGTATAAAATACCGACACAATGGAAATATAAACATATGTGCAGTATAATGTGATCCTTTATTGACAACGTTTCGCCCACACAATGAGCTTTTTCAAGTCACAAACAGATCTCAAACAGATCTGTTTGTGACTTGAATAAGCTCACTGTGTGGGTGAAACGTTGTCAATAAAGGATCACATTATACTGCATATGTGTTTATATTTCCATGGTAGGCCCATATTGGAGTATGCGGCACCAGTTTGGAACCCACACCTAGCCAAGCACGTAAAGAAACTAGAGAAAGTGCAAAGGTTTGCAACAAGACTAGTCCCAGAGCTAAGGGGTATGTCCTACGAGGAGAGGTTAAGGGAAATTGACCTTACGACACTGGAGGACAGGAGAGATAGGGGGGATGTGATAACGACAAGAGGAATTGACAAGGTGGACAGAGACGGAATGTTCCAGAGATGGGACACAGCAACAAGGGGACACATTTGGAAGTTGAAGACACAGATGAATCACAGGGATGTTAGGAAGTATTTCTTCAGTCACAGAGTTGTCAGGAAGTGGAATAGTTTGGGAAGTGATGTAGTGGAGGCAGGATCCATACATAGCTTTAAGCAGAGGTATGATAAAGCTCATCTTGGGGGGAGGGTGACCCAGTAGAGGCCATTGAAGAGGCAGGGCCAGGAGCTATGACTCAACCCCTACAACCACAACTAGGTGAGTACATATGTGCACACACACACATGCATGTATTCCACTTACATATGAACACACACACAGTTACATATATTTATTAAAGTAAGACTTTTATAATTAATATGTATCCATTAGTGTCTTTGACATTTGTATAGTTAATTTAAATAGATTTATTATGGTTTGCATATAGTTAATTTAAATAGATTTATTATGGTTTGCATATAGTTAATTTAAATAGATTTATTATGGTTTGCATATAGTTAATTTAAATAGATTTATTATGGTTTGCATATAGTTAATTTAAATAGATTTATTATGGTTTGCATACCCATGGTAAGGAAAGTAGTGTAAAAATTATAAATGGACATAAATCATGGAAGAGTCGGAACTTGAAACCATAGCAGCTCAGGTTCCATGAGTTGCACTGCAACATTATTGTTAGTTAAGCAGGTTGCAGTAGTAATTAACTGTACTAATTTTTATTCAGTATATATTTACTCTGATGATGATTTCAGTGTGTTGTGGAGATGAGTCAGGGTTCAGTGTGTGTGGAGTGGAAGCAGCCACAACCGTGTAGGTTGTGTGGGAAGCCTGGCAAGCTGGTGTGTTCAGTGTGCAAGGCTTGGTATTGTTGCAAGGTGTGCCAAGTGCAACACTGGCACTGCCACAGCAACACCTGCTCACCTCTTCCTCCTCATCTTCCTCCTCCTCTTCCTCCTCCTCCTCCTCCTCCGTAAGTCATACTTGTTTTATTAGGGGTTTTCTATTTTCATGTTCTATATTGAGTATGGAAAAATAGGAGTGGAGGAAAGTGGTTTTTATGACTTGATGTGCTGTTGGAGTGTGAGTAAGGTAACATGTATGAAGGGATTCAGGGAAACCGGTTAGCTGGACTTGAGTCCTGGAAGTGGAAGTACAATGTCTGCCCTCTGAAGGAGGACTGGCGATATCTACAGTTTTAAACTGTAGTATCGACATGACTGGCAAGACAGTGGTGGAGTGAGTGATGGTGAAAGTGTTTTTTCTTTTTTGGGTCACACTACCTCAGTGGGAGATGGCCAGTGTGTTAAAAATTAAAAAGCATTTATTTGTCCAACTTTCTAGGTTAATTAAAACATTAAATTTCCTTTAGCAATATGTTTAGTGAGGTTAATTATAATGTTTCTATATTTTGATAAATTTATAAAAATTCCTTAGTACAGGTCGGCCATCACTAATCCGGCATCATTGGCACCTGTAGTGTGCCAGATTAGTGAGTGCCGGATTACACAGTGGTTAGGTTAGAATACACTTAATTAACCTATCAATAGAGATTCTGTAAAGTAAAAGACACAAGTGTAACTAATGTGACATTTTATTGTGGCAACGTTTCGGCTTGACAAAGCTCCTGGAGAGCGAAACGTTGCCACAATGAAATGTCACATTAGATGCACTTGTGTCCTTTTACTTTATATATTGTCGGTAATTCTACCAACATTATTACAATAGAGATTCTGCTACATCTTCCTCATTTTCATCACTGGTTTCTCCTCCACTGGCTTGCTGCTGTGGATTTGTAACCATCTGCACAATCCTGAGTCATTATAATGATTTGAATTAGTATAATGATGAAAACTGAGTCAGTATAATGATTTGAATCAATATAATGATGAAATTTGAAGTTATGCTTACCAAAATTAGTGCCGGATTACTGATGGAACCAGATAACTGATTGCTGCATTAGTGATGGCTGACCTGTAATGTCTATAGTCTGATGTTTATTAACTATTTCTAGTAGGGTAACCCCCACATACACCTACCATCCGACTTATGACCACTCGACTTACGACCTGCTCGACTTACGACCACTCGACTCATGACCGTGTTTTTTATGCCAAATTTCTGGGAAATAAACAAGTATTTGTGTTGTACACAGTGTTTATCCTAAACCTTACAGTATAAAATACAGTACTAACAGCATAAAAAGTAAAGTAAAACATGAAATACCAAAATAAAACAATAAAATAAAGTCATTACAAAAATGTTTTGTTGATATTCAGTAGTAAAGTTCGACTTATGACCATTTTGACTTACGACCGGTTTCTCGGAACCGAACTCAGTCGTAAGTCGGATGGTAGGTGTATATTGTTATCATATATTCTTTTCCCAGTTATTTCATCCATTGTGTCTCATGTTCTCTGTACAATATTACTTCAGCACAATTAAGCCATAAACTTTTAGCTCATAAAGAAAAGGGTTGAGGTTCAGTTCCCAGGTGAGACAAGACATGTGAGACCAGGTGAGACAAGACATGTGAGACCAGGTGAGACAAGACATGTGAGACCAGGTGAGACAAGACATGTGAGACCAGGTGAGACAAGACATGTGAGACCAGGTGAGACAAGACATGTGAGACCAGGTGAGACAAGACATGTGAGACCAGGTGAGACAAGACATGTGAGACCAGGTGAGACAAGACATGTGAGACCAGGTGAGACAAGACATGTGAGACCAGGTGAGACAAGCATGTGAGACAGGTGAGACAAGACATGTGAGACCAGGTGACACGTGTGAGACCAGGTGAGACAAGACATGTGAGACCAGGTGAGACAAGACATGTGAGACCAGGTGAGACAAAACATGTGAGACCAGGTGACACGTGTGAGACCAGGTGAGACAAGACATGTGAGACCAGGTGACACGTGTGAAACCAGGTGAGACAAGACATGTGAGACCAGGTGACATGTGTGAGACCAGGTGAGACAAGACATGTGAGACCAGGTGACATGTGTGAGACCAGGTGAGACAAGACATGTGAGACCAGGTGAGACAAGACATGTGAGACCAGGTGAGACAAGACATGTGAGACCAGGTGAGACAAGACATGTGAGACCAGGTGAGACAAGACATGTGAGACCAGGTGAGACAAGACATGTGAGACAAGGTGAGACAAGACATGTGAGACCAGGTGACACGTGTGAGACCAGGTGAGACAAGACATGTGAGACCAGGTGACATGTGTGAGACCAGGTGAGACAAGACATGTGAGACCAGGTGAGACAAGACCTGTGAGACCAGGTAACATGTGTGAGACCAGGTGAGACAAGACATGTGAGACTAGGTGAGACAAGACATGTGAGACCAGGTGAGACAAGACATGTGAGACCAGGTGAGACAAGACATGTGAGACCAGGTGAGACAAGACATGTGAGACCAGGTGAGACAAGACATGTGAGACCAGGTGAGACAAGACATGTGAGACAAGGTGAGACAAGACATGTGAGACCAGGTGAGACAAGACATGTGAGACAAGTGTGAGTGGTCACAGTTGCTCTCTTCTGATAGTACAATACTTTTTTTGGAGATTGAGAAGAGGAATTGGATATTTTGAAGAATTTAGACTATTCTTTGTAGTCAACTTGATTGAAAGAATTGAAGGAACTATTCTTTTCCTTGGACCGAACCCATTTAACTCCCATTCCTCAGATGCTGTATCATTGTTATGGGTTAAATGTCTCCCCATGAATAAACCTGTAATAATGATAATTAATATGTGAAAGTTTAGGACAGGCTTTGAGAGGATTTACTAATTAATTTTTCACAATTAGTTTGTTTAACCCGTAAACGGTCCAAATGTATATATAGGTTTTTTCATCATTTGAAAGTATGTAAAAAAAGTAGATCTTTTTTTTTTTTTTTTTTTTTTTACATTTGAAAATGTGTAAAAAAAACTTTGATTTACTTTTTTTATTTTGTTATATTTGAAAATATGTCAAAAAAACGTAGATCTACTTTTGGAGCGCTACGCATGTGAACGTAGATCTGCTTGGACCGTTTACGGGTTAAGATACAGTGGTACCTCGAATTTTGGCCTTAATTTGTTCCAGAAGGCTGTTTAAGTGTCAATACCAAATGAATTTGTTCCAATAAGGAATAATGTAAATTAGATTAGTACGTTTCAAACCCCCAAAAATACACTTACAAAAGCACTTAGAAAAATACACTTACAAAAGCACTTACAAAAATACACTTACAAAAGCACTTACAAAAATACACTTACAAAAGCACTTACAAAAATACACTTACAAAAGCACTTACAAAAATACACTTACAAAAGCACTTACAAAAATACACTTACACAATTGTTCGAGATTGAAATTCGAGGTACCACTGTATGTGCAAATGGTTTGGATATTATTATGGCTCCTTTCCTTAGTATCCAACAGAATTTTTATTTGTTGCAATTCAAATGAGAGATTTCAGTATTTGATGCTTTCTGCATAATTTTCTCAGAGTATTATTTTTTTTCAGATCTTTGGATACTTCAGTATTCATCTCTGCTAATAGCTTGAGTGATAATGACAGAGATAAAGAAAAGCAGCATATTCAGACAGATCAAATTCTTGAAGAAAAAAATAATTTGCCTATTAATGTCAACCTTAGAAATGGCCGTCAGTCAAGTTTGTGTAAACAGCGGACCAAGTGTAATGAACAAGTGAATATTGAACAAATGGAGCCACAAGTGAGTAGTGTGGCTGTCCCTGAGAGGGAGCTGGAGCACAACCCCACCAGTCTAAATAACTCACCCATCACCAAGTTAAATCAGATGCCATCTCTGGTAACTCTACAACAAAACTGTCATACACAGGAAAATTCCTTTGAGCAGACCAGTAATATTAATTCCAAAGAATCTACTGAAATGCTGCCAAGTTCTCAGATAGTAACCACTGATAATATTGCTCCACATGGTATTTCTGACAGCCATAGAAATTCAAGCAAAAATGTTGAGTCACAGTCTGGGTGCAATATGCAGTCTATGAGAGAATATCAGAAGCAATTTCTTCCAAAGACTGTATCTGCACACAAGTCTTCATCACCAGTACAACTTTTCTTAAATGAATTAAAGAAAGATGAAATATATGAAGGAATCATCACACAGGTTGATAATTACAAGCAGTTTGCAGTCGTTGTTAATGATGCTCTTGCTAAAAAGTTTTACGGTGAAGCACAAGAGATATTAGCCAGTGTTCCTTATGATGTAAACTTTCATCCTAGTGTGGGTTCATTAGTGGTTGCTGGATCTTCATCCGACACTTCCTGGTATCGTGCGTGTGTGTGTAGAATAGATGGTGAGAATTACCAAGTGTTTTGCATAGACTTTGGTAAAATGGAGACAGTACGAGTGGTTAAACCACTTCCAGCCGGACCGCTCTCGGAGTTACCAGGTTTTGCAATAATAGCCAAGATTCACGTTGATGTACAATCACAAGTTCAGAAACAGTTGCAAAAAATTATCATGTTAGATAAGAAAATATTGTTCAGAGTAATAGGTAAGAAGTTAAAATCTTTGAAAGTTTCTCTGTTAAGTAATGATTTAACTGGTCTAGTGGCTAATTATATTTTGAGAGCATGGCACACCTCTCTACCTTTGTCACAAGATCTTGAGATAACATCATCAGGTGTAACTCAGGGACAAGTTTCAAGAGTCAGCAGAGATTCTCTCCTCTCCCAGTAACAGAGAATACCAGCATCTGTTGATTCAAGTAAGATGAATTTTAAGCAGAAGTTTTTTTTCAACAAGTCGGCCGTCTCCCACCAAGGCAGGGTGACCCAAACAGAAAGAAAATCCCCAAAAAGAAAATACTTTCATTATCATTCAACACTTTCACCTCACTCACACATAATCACTGTTTTTGCAGAGGTGCTCAGAACACAACAGTTTAGAAGCATATACGTATAAAGATACACAACATATCCCTCCAAACTGCTAATATCCCAAACCCCTCCTTTAGAGTGCAGGCATTGTACTTCCCATTTCCAGGACTCTAGTCCGGTTATATAAAATAACTGGTTTCCCTGAATCCCTTCACTAAATATTACCCTGCTCACACTCCAACAGATCGTCAGGTCCCAAATACCATTCATCTCCATTCACTCCTATCTAACATGCTCATGCACGCTTTCTGGAAGTCCAAACCCCTCGCCCACTAAACCTCCTTTACCCCCTCCCTCCAACCTTTTCAAGGATGACCCCTACCCCTCCTTCCTTCCCCTACAGATTTATATTCTCTCCGTGTCATTCTACTTTGATCCATTCTCTCTAAATAACCAAACCACCTCAACAACCCCTCTTCAGCCCTCTGACTAATACTTTTATTAACTCCACACTTTCTAATTTTCTCACTCTGAATTCTCTGCATAATATTTACACCACACATTGCCCTTAGACAGGACATCTCCACCGCCTCCTCACTGCAGCATTTACAACCCAAGCTTCACACCCATATAAGAGTGTTGGTATCACTATACTTTCACACATTCCCTTCTTTGCCTCCATAGATAATGTTGTTTGTCTCCAAATATACCTCAATGTACCACTCACCTTTTTCCCTTCATCAATTCTATGGTTAACCTCATCCTTCATACATCCATCCGCTGACACGTCAACTCCCAAATACAGTGGACCCCGCCTTACAATATTAATCCGTTCCTGAGAGCTCATCGTAAGCCGAAATTATCATTAGCCGAATTAATTTTCCCCATAAATATGAAATAATGGAAATCAAATTAATCCGTTCCTGACACCCCAAAGTATGAAAAAAAAAATTTTTTTACCACATGAAATATTAATTTTAATACACACAAACTGAAAAAGACATGCACAATTACTACTCTCCTAAGAATAGAATACATGACACTTACCTTTATTGAAGATCTGGTAATGATTGATGGGATGGGAGGAGGGGAGAGTGTGGAAGTTATTGTTTAGAAGGGAAATCCCCTTCCATTAGGACTTGAGGTAGCAAGTCCTTTTCTGGGGTTACTTCCCCTCTTCTTTTAATGCCAATAGGACCAGCTTGAGAGTCACTGGACCTCTGTCGCACAACAAATCTGTCTATAGAGCTCTGTACCTCCCGTTCTTTTAAGACTTTCTTAAAATGGGCCATAACATTGTCATTGTACAGGTTGCCAACACAGCTTGCAGTAGCTGTGTCAGGGTGATTTTCATCCGTAAAGGTTTGCAGTTCAACCCACTTTGCACACATTTCCTTAATCTCTTTTTTCAATTCCATACTAATTCTCGCCCTTTTTATCACAGGGATGGCACTAGAAGCTTTCTTGGGGTCCATGGTGACTTATTTTGCAGTTACAAGCACTGTAAACACTGGGATAATGTGAAATGTACCGAATGTATGCGTATATGTGACTGCACTGGCTGGCTTGTAAACACTGGCGCTGAGGCCACACGTGGGACGCGTCCCGGACGAATCACATAAGGCGAGTTTTTTATCATGAGGCGAGGCAAAATTTTTGCTTTCAAATGCTTCGTATGGCGCATTTAACGTAACGCGATGGGTTCGTAAGGTGGGGGTCCACTGTATCTGAAAACATTTACTTCTTCCATACTCTTCCTCTCCAATTTGGTATCCAATTTTTCTTTATCTAAATCATTTGATACCTTCATCACCTTACTCTTTTCTACGTTCACTTTCAACTTTCTACCTTTACACACTCTCCCAAACTTGTCCACTAACCTTTGCAACTTTTCTTTAGAATCTCCCATAAGCACAGTATCATCAGCAAAAAGTAACTGGGTCAATTCTTGTTTTGTATTTGATTCCCCATAATTTAATCCCACCCCTCTCCCCAACACCCTAGCATTTACTTCTTATTTTTAGTAATCTGTACAGGAAAAGGGGTTACTAGCCCATAGACTCTTATTCCAAAGCAGAAGTATCAAGATTAATCTTGTGCAAAACTTTCACATCACAAAGAGTTTCTGCAACATTATGTTAACAGAGCAGTGCTATTAAGGAATGTGCACTGAACTGATAAATATTCTGGTAAAGATCCTGATATTACTCAATCATTCAACTCAGAGAATAATTCCAGTAAGCATCACAGGGCAGAAATTTGTAATCAAAGAATCCTGTACAAAGATAATATAGCTGCTGGTCCCTCTGAACACACTGTACAGAGCAATTATCAGTGCACTGAAAAAACTGCTGAACCCAGCAAGCAAGATGGATATAAAGATTTCAACAGACATACTGAAGCAAAAAGAACACCATTGACTTCAGCATTGCAAAAAAACCATTGGTTTTCACACTAAAGAAAAGTTCTGGGCTGAAGACCTGAGAGATCCTGTGATGCAAGATGGTGAATATTACAAAGTACTGAAATTTGTACATGACCCTCCATTCCTTAAAATGGTGCCCACAGTATCACAGTCATACATCTAATTACAACTGTCATCTCAGGAATTTACTTTTAAGTTGACAGAGGTCAGTGTGGATGTCTTAGAACACAGTTGAGATGGCATTTACACTGTTGCAGTGATTTTAACTCAGACTAATAACAGTAGGTCTTGTAACACCCCTAAGGTGTAACTCTGCCACCAGAAAAGTTATTAACAGGGAATTTTGATATGTGAGTATTGGAGGAAGGAAAATGGAGAATTTTCGTTTCTTCAGGAATTGGTAGCTAATGTAATAAATGGAATTACCTATTTAATTTTATTCACATAGAGATTACATTCCCAGTTTAATGTGATATAGTGGTAACTGTAGTTACGAACTTATTTCGTTCCAGAAGGCTGTTTGAGTGCCGATACTGAACAAATTTGTTCCAATAAGGAATAATGTAAATTAGATTAATCCGTTTCAGACCCCCAAAAATACACTTACAAAAGCACTTACAAAAATACACATACATAATTGTTCGAGTTGGGAGCTGTTTGAAACTCGACGTACCACTGTATCTTCTTCTTTCAACAAACTGGCCATATCCCACTTAGGCAGGGTGGCCCAAAAAGAAAACAAAAGCTTTTCTCTTTAACTTTAGTAATGTATACAGGAGAAGGGGTTACTAGCCTCTTGCTCCTGGCATTTTAGTCACCTCTTATGACATGCATGGCTTACGGAGGAAGAATTCTGTTCTACCTCCCCATGGAGATTTAATGTGATACAGTGGTCCCTCAATAATCGTCCGGCCTGAAAGTCATCCATTTCGGAAATAGTCCTGTTTTTTCGTCAAAATATTGGCTCGCAAATGGTCCAGTAACTCGCTAATAGTCCTTCGTCCCGGACGCGTACTCACGCTCTGAGCCGCCTTGGCCTTTCCTTCCCAGCCAGTGTGCCATTGTTTACCAGTGAGCGACGGTCCCCTCACGTGCTCCAGCGAAATATTTCATAATATTCCATTTATTTTAGTGCTTGCAAGTTATTTAAGTGCTAAATAAGCTACCATGGCTCCAGAGAAAGCTCCTAGTGCCAAACCTTTGGTAAAGAAGGTGAGAAATATGATTGAATTTAAGAAAAACATCATTGAATAATATGATAGTGGCGTACGTGTGGGCGAACTGGCCAAGATGTATAACAAACCCCATACAACCATATCTTCCATCATAGCCAAGAAAAAGGAAATCAAGGATGCTGTTGTTGCAAAGGGGGTAAATATGCTGACAAAAATGAGATCACCAGTACTCGAAGATGTTGAGAAGTTATTATTGGTGTGGATAAATGAGAAACAATTAGCAGGAGATAGTCTTATGATGTCGCTTATTTGTGAAAAGGCCAGGCAGTTGCATGACGATTTGGTAAAGAAATTGCCTGCAACTAGTGGTGATGTGAGTGAATTTAAGGCCAGCAAAGGCTGGTTTGAGAGATTTAAGAAGCGTACTGGCATACACAGCGTGGTAAGGCATGGTGAGGCTGCCAGTTCGGACCACAAGGCGGCTGAAAAATATGTGCATGAATTCAAGGAGTACATAAACAGTAAAGGACTGAAACCTGAACAAGTGTTCAATTGTGATGAAACAGGCCTCTTTTGGAAGAAAATGCCAAAGAGGACCTACATTACTCAGGAAGAAAAGGCGCTGCCAGGACACAAGCCTATGAAAGACAGGCTGATGCTAATGTTCTGTGCTAATGCTAGTGGGGATTTCAAAGTGAAACCGTTAGTGTGCCATTCTGAAAATCCCAGAGTGTTCAGGAAAAACTATGTTATGAAGAGTAAATTGTGTGTGTTTTGGAGATCTAATAGTAAGGCATGGGTCACAAGGGGCATTTTCGTCGAGTGGTTCAATGAAGTGTTTGGCCCTAGTGTGAAGAATTACCTCCTGGAAAAGAAATTGGATCTCAAGTGCCTCCTAGTAATGGACAATGCACCTGCTCATCCTACAAACTTGGATGACCTAATTCTGAAGGAGTTTGGGTTCATCACAGTAAAGTTCTTGCCCCCGAATACCACTCCTCTCCTCCAGCCCATGGACCAGCAGGTCATTGCAAACTTTAAAAAACTCTACACCATAGCAATGTTTGAAAGGTGCTTGAATGTGACCTCAGACACTCACTTGACCCTACGAGATTTTTGGAAAGAACACTTCAGTATTCTCCATTGCGTAAGCCTTATAGGTAAGGCTTGGGAGGGAGTGACTACCAGGACTTTGAACTCTGCTTGGAGAAAATTGTGGCCAGATTGTGTCCACAAGAGGAATTTTGAAGGGTTTGGGGCTGACCCTGATGAGCCTATGTCAGTTGTTAAATCCATTGTGGCACTGGGGAGTTCCATGGGGTTGGATGTGAGTTTGGAGGATGTGGAAGAGTTGGTGGAGGACCACAATGAAGAGCTAACCACTGAGGAGCTGCAAGAGCTTCAGCAGGAAGAGCAACAGATTGCAGCTCAGAATCTTACTGCAGAGGAGGAGGAAGAGAGATGGAGGAAGGTGCCTTCTTCAGAAATTAAGGAGATTTTTGAAATGTGGGGTAGGATGGAAAGATTTATGGAGAAACATCACCCTGAGAAGGATGTTGCAAGCCATATCGGCAACTTGTACAGTGACAGAGTCTTGGCCCATTTTAGGGAAGTTTTAAAGAGACGCCAGAAACAGAGCTCTCTGGACAGTATTTTTGCTAGACAGGACTCCAGTGACTCTCAAGCTGGTCCTAGTGGCATTAAGAAACAGAGAAGAGAAGTAACCCCAGAAAAGCAATTGGTACCTGAGGTGTTGATGGAAGAGGATTTCCATTCCAAACAGTAAATCATCCAATCTGTCTCCTTCTCCAGTCTTCCATACACAAAGAAGAATCGCCAATAAAGGTAAGTGTTATGCTGTTAATGTTTAATTCATCATGTGCCACTGTATTGTTTATGTACTACATCTATATTTCATGTAAAAAATTTTTTTGTTTTAATACTTCTGGGTGTCAGGAACGGATTAATTGTATTTACATTATTTCTTATGGGGAAAATTGGTTCGTAAATCATCCATTTCGATAATAGTCCCACTTCCAGGAATGGATTATGGACGATAATTGAGGGACCATTGTATATGGTCTTCAAAAGAATGGTAATATGTATTTTTGATTAAAGAGTATTTTTTTTAAGTATTGGTAGTAAGACAGTGTGTACCGAACGGAATAATAAAAAAAAAATGCAACTTATTGTTTTAATACACAAATAACTCATACACAGGAGAAAGTAACATCATCGTGAGTGTCTTCTGTGTGCGGGTTATTTGTGTATTGTTCCAGTCACAGTATTGTGCCTTTTTGTTCTGTATTATCTTAAATTTGTAATCACTGAAATCTTGTACTGAGATTCGTTAAATTCTTGGTATTGTTTACTTAGTTGCACGTACATACCTAGAAGTGTCAGTAGTAATGAAGTTTGTTGCTCTAACATGCTTTGTTAAATATTGATATTGCTAACAATTAATTTTTTATTGTGCTTATTTTTGCTTATTTTTGTATTTTGGTTTGATTTATCATGACAAGTTATGTTTGTGTGTGTCATCATCATGACATGTGTCTCCACGTATTCTTCAAAATAAATTCATATCCCAAGGTGCCACTGTATTTGCAAGTCTGAGATGTTTAATAAAAGGCACTTGCATGAAGTATTTTCTCGGTTAGTTCCTTTAGTGATTCTACATTGATTTTGTAAGTAACTAATTTTCATTTAATTTGTTGCTGTTTTTGTGCAGTATAATTTATTTAGAGAACTGAGTGTATCATCAGTTTGTAATTTTGTATTGGTAGCTACAGGAGCAGAACTATGCTCGCAGTGCCTTGTCTATGGTAATTTTTTCATCATATTATTTTCCTGAATCTCTGTGAAGGAATTCAGGGAAACAAGTTAGGTGGACTTGAGTCCTGGAGGTGGGAAGTACAGTGCCTGCACTCTGAAGAAGTGTGGAGGTGGGAAGTACAGTGGTACCTTGGTACTCGAGCAGCTCCCTACTTGAACAAAGCTCAGCAATCGACCAAACAAGCACGACCTGCCAGAACTTCTCTGTAAACTATTTTGTGTTTCTTCTCATTTTTTGGTGTTTTTTTTTTATATTATTTGTATAAATAAGTCACTATGGGGCCTACAAAAATTAGTGATAACAGCCAACCAAAAAGAAAATTGGTTGGGAAGAATTTGTTTGATACTCGAATGGATCAGCACTCGAGCACCCTTCTGGAATGAATTAAGTTTGAGTACCAAGGTTCCACTGTACAGTGCCTGCACTCTGAAGGTGGGAGTGATGATGAGAGTGCTTCTTTTCTTTGGGTCACCCGGCCTCCGTGGGAAACAGCCAGTGTGTTAAAAAAAAGAAATTTTAATTTCCAGTGGTTGTAGCACTTACTGCTACATACTTCTAAGTCATTCCAATGGTCAGTCACTCAGTGAGGAAAAACTCGTGTTATTTTTATTTGTGCTCACTTATTCGTGTTTGCATGGGTTGAGTCTCAGCTCCTGCCTGGTATTGATCAGTTATTAGTTTACATATTACAGTATATCTTTATTTCTTAGCTTGATATTTTTTCTTATTTTGTATTTTGAAAAGTCAAGATTTATCAATTGATACATCATAGTCTAAGAAGATATTGCTATTAAGGTGCAGTTTTATATTAGGTGGAAGTATTTCTTCTCTTTTTTTTTTTAGGTCACCTTACCTTGGTTGGAGACAGCTGGCATGGTAAAATAAAAAATTATATATGTTTTGTTAATCACTGTATTCAAAACTGATTGTGAAAAAATTGACTCATGGCAAATAATAAAGATTCTGCACTTTCAGAATTTCATTGCAATATTATGCATAAAAATGTATAATATAAAGGTGTTTATAAAAGAGAGAAGCTTACGATGACGTTTTGGTCCGACTTGGACCATTTACGAAGTCACACTATGTGCGGGTTATTTGTGTATCGTTCCAGTCATGGTATTGTGCATTTTTTTGTTATTAATAGTTATGTGGTTAGGGGTCAAACTAGAGGGACAGCGACTCTGGAATTGTATAATATTACAGTGGATCCCCGGATTATGTCATCGGAATTCATAATATTTGGAATAAGTAACGTTTTTTCATCAAAATGTTGGCTCAGTGATTATCATTGAACTCGGTATTAGTCATTCATCCTGAACACGTCTGCATGGCCCGAGCGGTCCGACACACCATTTACAGCCAGTGTGCCATTGTTTATAAGCCAGTGAAGACGATCCCACGCGTTTATACGATATATTTTGTATTATTCCATTCTTTTTAGTGCTTGCAACTGCTAAATAAGCCACCATGGGCCCAAAGAAAGCTTCTAGTGCTGGCCCTTTGGTAAAGAGGGTGAGAAACACTAGAGAATTCAAGAAAGACATCATTGGAAAATATGAAAGTGTAGTACGTGTCGTAGAGCTGGCCAGATTGTATAACAAACCCCATACAACCATCGCTTCTATCATGGCCAAGAGAAAGGAAATCAAGGAAGCTGTTGTTGTGAAAGGTTCAAATATACTTACAAAATAGAGATCGCAAATACTGGAAGATGTGGAGACTTTGTTGTTGGTGTGGAGCAACGAGAAACAAATATCATTAGATGGTGTTATGCAGACAATAATTTGTGAAGAGGCAAGGCAGTTCCATGATGATCTCGTAAAGAAAATGCCTGGAACTAGTGCTGATATTGGTGAATTTAAGGCCAGCAAAGGCTGGTTTGAGAGATTTAAGAATCATAGTGGCATACACAGTGTGATAAGGCATGGTGAGGCTGCCAGTTCTGACAAAAAAGCAGCTGAAAAATATGTTCAGGACTTCAAGGGGTACATAGAGACTGAAAAATTCAAACTCCAACAAGTGTTCAATTGTGATGAAACAGGCCTCTTTTGGAAGAAAATACCAAAGAGGATGTACATTACTCAGGAGGAAAAGGCACTGCCAGGATACAAGCCTATGAAAGACAAGCTGACTCTCATGTTTTGTAGTAATGTTAGTGGGGATATCAAAGTGAAGCTTTTACTGGTGTAACACTCTGAAAATCCCAGAGTGTTCAAGAAAAACAGTGTTGCCAAGAGTAAATTGTGTGTGATGTGGAAGGCAAACAGTATGGGTCACGAGGGACATTTTCCTTGATTGGTTTAATGAAGTGTTTGGCCCCAGTGTGAAGAAATGCCTCCTGGAAAATAAATTGCCACTCAAGTGCCTCCTGGTAATGGACAGTGCTCCTGCTCATCCTCCAGACTTGGAAGAGCAAATGGTGCAGGAGTTTCATTTCATCACAGTGAAGTTCTTGCCCCCTAATACCACTCCTCTCCTCCAGCCTATGGACCAGCAGGTCATTTCAAATTTCAAAAAACTGTACACCAAAGCAGTGTTTCAAAAGTGCTTTGAAGTGACCTCAGACACTGAATTGACCCTAAGAGAGTTCTGGAAGGATCACTTCAGTATCCTCAGTTGCATAAACTTTATAGGTAAGGCTTGGGAGGGAGTGACTTGCAGGACTTTGAACTCTACTTGGAGAAAATTGTGACCAAAGTGCATACAAGAGAGGGATTTTGAAGGGTTTGGGGCTGACTCTGAGGAGCCTATGCCAGTTGTGGAAAGTATTATGGCATTGGGGAATTTCATGGGGTTGGATGTGAGTTTCGAGGTGTGGAAGAGCTGGTGGAGGACCATGATGAAGAGCTAACAACTAGAGCTTCAAGAGCTTCATCTGCAACAACAACAGACCACAGCTCAGGAAATTGCTTCAGAGGAGGAGGAAGAGAGATGGAGGAAGGTGCCTTCTTCAAAGATTAAGGAGATTTGTACAATGTGGACAAAGGTGCAAACATTTATGGATGAACTTCACCCTGACAAAGCTGTTGCAAGCCGTGTTGGCAACATCTACATGACAATGTTGTGTCCCATTTTAGGGAAGTTTTAAAGAAATGCCAGATACGGACCTCTCTGGAACACTTTTTTGAACAACAGGGGTCCATTGACTCTCAAGCTGGTCCTAGTGGCATTAAAAAACAAAGAAGGGAAGTAACCCCAGAAAAGGACTTGGTACCTGAAATCTTTATGGAAAGGGATTCCCCTTCCAAACAATAATATACCTCCATCCTCTCCCCTCCTCCCGTCTCATCACTCATCAATAAGTCTTCAATACAGGTAAGTGTCATTTTAGTATTGTTTATTCTGCATGTCTCATTGTTTTCTGTGTAGGGAAATGTATATTTCATGTAAAAAAAATATTTTTTTATACTTTTGGGTGTCGGGAATGGATTAATTGGATTTCCATTATTTCTTATGGGGAAAATTAATTCTGAATTTGTCAGATTTGGGTTTAGTCACTCTCTCTGGAACAGATTAATTACAAAAACCGGGGGTCCACTGCACCAGCAAGTGGAAATTGATGAAGACACAAAACAGTAGGGGTGTTAATGTTGCAGTTTAAAAACTGTAGTGTAAAGCACCCTTCTGGCAAGACAGTGATGGAGTGAATGATGGTGAAAGTTTTTCTTTTTCGGGCCACCCTGCCTTGGTGGGAATCGGCCAGTGTGATAATAAAAAAATAATAAAAACAAAACAGTAGTAGTTGAAGACCTTAAGACGATGTTTCTCCTGTACTTTCAATCTTCTTAAGACTTGATAAAACCTGCTGAAGAGGTCTAACATTACCTTAGATAAGCTTATCACTTGTTGCTTGTGTGTGTGTGGAATCAACTACAAGTAAACATGAGAAATTCTTCAATATTTTTTCTGTCTCATAAACACGCTAAGATAACAGGGATATCTTGCTACTCCTACTTACACTTTGGTCACACTTCACAGACACGCACATGCATATATATATATACATACATCTAGGTTTTTCTTCTTTTTCTAAATAGCTCTTGTTCTTTTTTATTTCTTCTATTGTCCATGGGGAAGTGGAAAAGAATCTTTCCTCCGTAAGCCATGCGTGTCGTATGAGGCGACTAAAATGCCGGGAGCAATGGGCTAGTAACCCCTTCTCCTGTATACAATTACTAAAAAAGAGAAGAAGAAAAACTTTATAAAACTGGGTTGCTTAAATGTGCGTGGATGTAGTGCGGATGACAAGAAACAGATGATTGCTGATGTTATGAATGAAAAGAAGTTGGATGTCCTGGCCCTAAAGCGAAACAAAGCTGAAGGGGGTAGGAGAGTTTCAGTGGGGGAAATAAATGGGATTAAATCTGGAGTATCTGAGAGAGTTAGAGCAAAGGAAGGGGTAGCAGTAATGTTAAATGATCAGTTATGGAAGGAGAAAAGAGAATATGAATGTGTAAATTCAAGAATTATGTGGATTAAAGTAAAGGTTGGATGCGAGAAGTGGGTCATAATAAGCGTGTATGCACCTGGAGAAGAGAGGAATGCAGAGGAGAGAGAGAGATTTTGGGAGATGTTAAGTGAATGTATAGGAGCCTTTGAACCAAGTGAGAGAGTAATTGTGGTAGGGGACTTGAATGCTAAAGTAGGAGAAACTTTTAGAGAGGGTGTGGTAGGTAAGTTTGGGGTGCCAGGTGTAAATGATAATGGGAGCCCTTTGATTGAACTTTGTATAGAAAGGGGTTTAGTTATAGGTAATACATATTTTAAGAAAAGAGGATAAATAAGTATACACGATATGATGTAGGGCGAAATGACAGTAGTTTGTTGGATTATGTATTGGTAGATAAAAGACTGTTGAGTAGACTTCAGGATGTACATGTTTATAGAGGGGCCACAGATATATCAGATCACTTTCTAGTTGTAGCTACACTGAGAGTAAAAGGTAGATGGGATACAAGGAGAATAGAAGCATCAGGGAAGAGAGAGGTGAAGGTTTATAAACTAAAAGAGGAGGCAGTTAGGGTAGATATAAACAGCTATTGGAGGATAGATGGGCTATGAGAGCATAGGCAATGGGGTCGAAGAGGTATGGGGTAGGTTTAAAAATGTAGTGTTAGAGTGTTCAGCAGAAGTTTGTGGTTACAGGAAAGTGGGTGCAGGAGGGAAGAGGAGCGATTGGTGGAATGATGATGTAAAGAGAGTAGTAAGGGAGAAAAAGTTAGCATATGAGAAGTTTTTACAAAGTAGAAGTGATGCAAGGAGGGAAGAGTATATGGAGAAAAAGAGAGAGGTTAAGAGAGTGGTGAAGCAATGTAAAAAGAGAGCAAATGAGAGAGTGGGTGAGATGTTATCAACAAATTTTGTTGAAAATAAGAAAAGTTTTGGAGTGAGATTAACAAGTTAAGAAAGCCTAGAGAACAAATGGATTTGTCAGTTAAAAATAGGAGAGGAGAGTTATTAAATGGAGAGTTAGAGGTATTGGGAAGATGGAGGGAATATTTTGAGGAATTGTTAAATGTTGATGAAGATAGGGAAGCTGTGATTTCGTGTATAGGGCAAGGAGGAATAACATCTTGTAGGAGTGAGGAAGAGCCAGTTGTGAGTGTGGGGGAAGTTCGTGAGGCAGTAGGTAAAATGAAAGGGGGTAAGGCAGCCGGGATTGATGGGATAAAGATAGAAATGTTAAAAGCAGGTGGGGATATAGTTTTGGAGTGGTTGGTGCAATTGTTTAATAAATGTATGGAAGAGGGTAAGGTACCTAGGGATTGGCAGAGAGCATGCATAGTTCCTTTGTATAAAGGCAAAGGGGATAAAAGAGAGTGCAAAAATTATAGGGGATAAGTCTGTTGAGTGTACCTGGTAAAGTGTATGGTAGAGTTATAATTGAAAGAATTAAGAGTAAGACGGAGAATAGGATAGCAGATGAACAAGGAGGCTTTAGGAAAGGTAGGGGGTGTGTGGACCAGGTGTTTACAGTGAAACATATAAGTGAACAGTATTTAGATAAGGCTAAAGAGGTCTTTGTGGCATTTATGGATTTGGAAAAGGCGTATGACAGGGTGGATAGGGGGGCAATGTGGCAGATGTTGCAAGTGTATGGTGTAGGAGGTAGGTTACTGAAAGCAGTGAAGAGTTTTACGAGGATAGTGAGGCTCAAGTTAGAGTATGTAGGAAAGAGGGAAATTTTTTCCCAGTAAAAGTAGGCCTTAGACAAGGATGTGTGATGTCACCGTGGTTGTTTATATATATTTATAGATGGGTTGTAAGAGAAGTAAATGCGAGGGTCTTGGCAAGAGGCGTGGAGTTAAAACATAAAGAATCACACACAAAGTGGGAGTTGTCACAGCTGCTCTTTGCTGATGACACTGTGCTCTTGGGAGATTCTGAAGAGAAGTTGCAGAGATTGGTGGATGAATTTGGTAGGGTGTGCAAAAGAAGAAAATTAAAGGTGAATACAGGAAAGAGTAAGGTTATGAGGATAACAAAAAGATTAGGTGATGAAAGATTGAATATCAGATTGGAGGAGAGAGTATGGAGGAGGTGAACGTATTCAGATATTTGGGGAGTGGACGTGTCAGCGGATGGGTCTATGAAAGATGAGGTGAATCATAGAATTGATGAGGGAAAAAGAGTGAGTGGTGCACTTAGGAGTCTGTGGAGACAAAGAACTTTGTCCTTGGAGGCAAAGAGGGGAATGTATGAGAGTATAGTTTTACCAACGCTCTTATATGGGTGTGAAGCGTGGGTGATGAATGTTGCAGCGAGGAGAAGGCTGGAGGCAGTGGAGATGTCATGTCTGAGGGCAATGTGTGGTGTGAATATAATGCAGAGAATTCGTAGTTTGGAAGTTAGGAGGAGGTGCGGGATTACCAAAACTGTTGTCCAGAGGGCTGAGGAAGGGTTGTTGAGGTGGTTCGGACATGTAGAGAGAATGGAGCGAAACAGAATGACTTCAAGAGTGTATCAGTCTGTAGTGGAAGGAAGGCGGGGTAGGGGTCGGCCTAGGAAGGGTTGGAGGGAGGGGGTAAAGGAGGTTTTGTGTGCGAGGGGCTTGGACTTCCAGCAGGCATGCGTGAGCGTGTTTGATAGGAGTGAATGGAGACAAATGGTTTTTAATACTTGACGTGCTGTTGGAGTGTGAGCAAAGTAACATTTATGAAGGGATTCAGGGAAACCGGCAGGCCGGACTTGAGTCCTGGAGATGGGAAGTACAGTGCCTGCACTCTGAAGGAGGGGTGTTAATGTTGCAGTTTAAAAACTGTAGTGTAAAGCACCCTTCTGGCAAGACAGTGATGGAGTGAATGATGGTGAAAGTTTTTCTTTTTCGGGCCACCCTGCCTTGGTGGGAATCGGCCGGTGTGATAATAAAAAAAAAAAAAAAAAAAAAATATTTTGTATCTAAGTTTTGTGAGTACTAATATAAACAAATTTATAAATAAAGCTGGTAATATTTGTGAGATTTTCACTATGAGAATAAATAGTATAAAATACCGACACAATGGAAACATAAACACATATGCAGTTTAATGTGATCCTTTATTGACAACATTTCGCCCACACAGTGTGGGCGAAACATTGTCAATAAAGGATCACATTAAACTACATATGTGTTTATGTTTCCAGATTTTCACTACAATTTTCCAGTTTTTCCTGACATATCCATATCAATATCCACATTTTTTTTAACTCAACAACTCAATTGTAGTCTTTCATAAGTGTACTGAGTTCAGTCAGATGACTCTATGAGTGCGACATCCCCTCCCCTCTCCTCCTCCAGAGTGCAAGTTAGTTAGTTAAATATCTTTATTATGCAGCCCATACCCATCCTGTGGGCAGTAGTCACCCTATACCCATCCTGTGGGCAGTAGTCACCCCATACACATCCTGTGGGCAGTAGTCACCCCATACACATCCTGTGGGCAGTAGTCACCCCATACACATCCTGTGGGCAGTAGTCACCCCATACACATCCTGTGGGCAGTAGTCGCCCCATACACATCCTGTGGGCAGTAGTCGCCCCATACACATCCTGTGGGCAGTAGTCAAAAGATTACAGAGGCACATAATGGGTCCAGGGACTGGACTCCAAAGTTTTGATAGCTGAACAAGTTAACAAAGGTAATGAACTCCAGGTAGACCTGGTCACAATCATGACAAGTTACAAAGGTAATGAACTCCAGGTAGACCTGGTCACAATCATGACAAGTTACAAAGGTAATGAACTCCAGGTAGACCTGGTCACAATCATGATAAGTTACAAAGGTGAAGAATCATCTACACTTCTATTCATGGTTACTCCTCTTCCCACCTCCAAGATTCAAAAGACCATAAGAAAGAAGAAGCAATGCAACTCTTGGTCATTTTTACCGCTTTCTCCCATTGTAGTGTGACCAAATTGTTTAATACACACTGATACCTTTATCTTCTATCTGTTTAAAGTCCCGGAGAACTCAACAACTGCCGCCTCAGAACACAGCTGACTAACACTACCACTTCTGCCCCAGATTGATGTACCTTATTCCTTGCATTATCATGTTTATCATAGAAATTGTCCCAGTTGTCAATAAATGGGATTGCAATTTCTTTGCAGTACTTGTCTAGCCAGCAATTTGCACCAACTGATATCCATTCATTCCGAGCCAGTGAGAGGGAAGGAGGTTTAGCCAGTCCATTGGTAAGTAAGTTTATTCAGGTATACACAAACACAGGTACATAGATTATCATACATAGCAGCATATGGGTAGAGAACCTGGGATACCTGGAGTTTACCTGGAGAGAGTTCCAGGGGTCAACGCCCCCGCGGCCCGGTCTGTGACCAGGCCTCCTGGTGGATCAGAGCCTGATCAACCAGGCTGTTGCTGCTGGCTGCACGCAAACCAACGTACAAGCCACAGCCCGGCTGGTCAGGAACCGACTTTAGGTGCTTGTCCAGTGCCAGCTTGAAGACTGCCAGGGGTCTGTTGGTAATCCCCCTTATGTATGCTGGGAGGCAGTTGAACAGTCTCGGGCCCCTGACACTTATTGTAAGTCAGACAGACTGACTTATTTCCATTGGGCTCCAGAGCCCAGCTGTGAATCTGTTAGTTTGAGAATATTATTGACAATTCCAGTGACAGTAGTGTGAGCAGAAAGATCTTTAAGTAAACTTAAACATATCAAAAACTTATTAAAGTCTAATATGTCTCAAAGTTGACTTAGTGATTTATCAAGATTGAGTATTGAGTCAAACATTGCCAGAGAAATTGATTTTGATAATGTTATTACAAACTTTGCAGATAAAAAAGCCAGAAAAGCTCATTTCACTAAGTCGTCTAAGTAAATATTAAACACTTATTTTACTTTGAAAGAACTTATTAAATGTTTAAAAATTTAGGCACTTGTATAGTTATTGGTGAACAAAAATATTCACAATGTATGAAGTATACGTATAAAGTATGTGTTATCTGGTCGTTCTGCTGTGCTTGAAATAAAGTATTTTTGAAAATTTACCAATGGTTTTATTGGACTTCCCCTCAAGGAAAGTTCCTTGATGCTGGTGAGGGGCTCTTAATCCAGGGAATTGGATCTGTGCTCCAGTTCCATGAATTAAACCTGAATACCTTCCACCTCCTCCCACAAGCGCTGTATAATCCTACGTATTTAGTGCTTCCCCCTTGATTATAATAATTTATTGGACTTCAAATTCCCAGTTTTGATGGAAGCCTCAGCCTGCCCCCACCTCAGCCTGCCCCCACGGGCCCCAAAGCAATCTCGTTCTGCCTTGCCAAATTTCTCTTGGAGGTCCTGCATTCATAGCCCTTCCCTCTTCTAGGCAACATGCTATATATGATTGGGACCCATCCCTTAGGTCTAATTAAATCTTTAGCTATCCTGTACTTAACTAGCAGCTCCTGTCTCCTGCCCATGCCAATATTGTTTCCACCATCACTGAGGCAGATAGTGGGCGTGTTCCCATTACCTGACGTGATATTATCCAACTTGTTGACTATGTCACCATGCCAGCTTCTGGGAAACACACCCTCAGTCTCACCTTCCTATCTCTGTTACAGAAAGCATGATCAATATATCTTACCTGTGAATTGCCATCCACAAGGATATTCCCACCTTTATTAGCAGAGGAGTTAGTGGTACCTTTATCCTCACTGACCATTAAAGTACATTCATCATGGAGAACAGAGAAGTAATTTCCTACCTTCAAATTTGCTCTTTTATCCGAAATGCCATGACAATGTCACCCATGTTTATACATTGTATCATGCTAAAATAAATGTTATATTTTTACTGAAAAATTCTACCCACTTGTGAGAGCTACAAACCTGTTCCTGACCGCTGGTAACCTGTTTCCCTTCATTAACTCCTGACCGCTGGTAACCTGTTTCCCTTCATTAACTCCTGACCGCTGGTAACCTGTTTCCCTTCATTAACTCCTGACCGCTGGTAACCTGTTTCCCTTCATTAACTCCTGACCGCTGGTAACCTGTTTCCCTTCATTAACTCCTGACTGCTGGTAACCTGTTTCCCTTCATTAACTCCTGACTGCTGGTAACCTGTTTCCCTTCATTAACTCCTGACTGCTGGTAACCTGTTTCCCTTCATTAACTCCTGACTGCTGGTAACCTGTTTCCCTTCATTAACTCCTGACTGCTGGTAACCTGTTTCCCTTCATTAACTCCAGCCACCTCACATTGCTATAATTATCCAGTAAGACATTATGCTCTATAACACTCCACACTAATGGCCCTTTGTCTGTCCACACACTAGTGTATGGCCCTTTGTCTGTCTACACACTAGTGTATGTCCCTTTGTCCACACACTAGTGTATGGCCCTTTGTTCACAGTAATGTATGGCCCTTTGTCCACACACTAGTGTATGGCCCTTTGTCTGTCCACACAGTAATGTATGGCCCTTTGTCTGTCCACACACTAGTGTATGACCCTTTGTTCCCACACTAGTGTATGGCCCTTTGTTCATGCACTAGTGAATGGCCCTTTGTCCACACACTTGTATATGGCCCTTTGTCCACACACTAGTGTATGGCCTTTTGTTCACACACTAGTGTATGGCCCTTTGTTCACACACTAGTGTATGGCCCTTTGTCCTCACACTTGTATATGGCCCTTTGTCTGTCCACACTAGTGTATGGCCCTTGTTCAACACTAGTGATGGCCTTTGTTAACCTAGTGTATGACCCTTTTGTTCCACACTAGTGTAGGCCCTTTTCCCTCAATTAAGGCCCTTGTCTGTCCAACTGTTTGCCCTTTGTTTCACACTAGTGTATGGCCTTGTTCACACCTGTGTATGGCCATTTCTTCCACACATATGTATGCCACTCATCCACAGTATGTATTGCATCTGTCCAACAGTAATTATGGCCCTCTGTCCACACAGTAATGTATGGCCCTTTGTCTGTCCACACACTAGTGCATGACCCTTTGTTCACACACTAGTGTATGGCCCTTTGTTCACGCACTAGTGTATGGCCCTTTGTCACCACACTTGTATATGGCCCTTTGTCCACACACTAGTGTATGGCCCTTTGTCCTCACACTTGTATATGGCCCTTTGTCTGTCCACACTAGTGTATGGCCCTTTGTTCACACACTAGTGTATGGCCCTTTGTTCACGCACTAGTGTATGGCCATTGTCTGTCCACACAGTAATGTATGGCCCTCAGTCCACACAGTAATGTATTGCCATCTGTCCACACAGTAATGTATGGCCCTCTGTCCACACAGTAATGTATGGCCCTTTGTCTGTCCACACACTAGTGCATGACCCTTTGTTCACACACTAGTGTATGGCCCTTTGTTCACGCACTAGTGTATGGCCCTTTGTCCACACACTTGTATATGGCCCTTTGTCCACACACTAGTGTATGGCCCTTTGTTCACACACTGGTGTATGGCCCTTTGTTCACACACTAATGTATGGCCCTTTGTCCACACACGTGTATATGGCCCTTTGTCTGTCCACACACTAGTGTATGGCCTTTTGTTCACACACTAGTGTATGGCCCTTGACTGTCCACACAGTAATGTATTGCCATCTGTCCACACAGTAATGTATGGCCCTCTGTCCACACAGTAATGTATGGCCCTCTGTCCACACAGTAATGTATGGCCCTCTGTCCACACAGTTGTATGGCCCTCTGTTCACCACAGTAATGTATGGCCCTTGTCCACACACTAGTGTATGGCCTTTGTCCACACAGTAGTGTATGGCCCTTTGTCCTCACACTGTAATATGGCCCTTTGTCCACAGTAATGTATGGCCCTTTGTTCCACACAGTATGTATGGCCCTTTGTCCACAGTAATGTTATGGCCCTTTCTGTCCACACAGTAATTATGGCCCTCAGTCCACACAGTAATGTATGCCATCTGTCCACACAGTAATGTATGGCCTCTGTCCACACAGTAATGTATGGCCCTCTGTCACACTAATGTATGGCTTGTCCACACAGTATGTATGGCCCTTTGTTCACACAGTATGTATGGCCCTTTGTCTCACACAGTATGTATGGCCCTTGTCCAGTTAGTATATGGCCCTTTGTCTACACACGTAATGTATGGCCTCTTCTCACGTAATGTTGCCCTGTCCACAGATGTATGGCCCTTTGTCCACACTAATGTATGGCCCTCTGTCCACACAGTAATGTATGGCCCTCTGTTCACACAGTAATGTATGGCCCTCTGTCCACACAGTAATGTATGGCCCTCTGTCGACACAGTAATGTATGGCCCTCTGTCCACACAGTAATGTGTGGCCCTCTCTCCACACACTAATGTATGGCCCTCTGTCCACACAGTAATGTATGGCCCTCTGTCCACACAGTAATGTATTGGGCCCTCTGTCACACAGTAATGTATGGCCCTCTGTCCACACAGTAATGTATGGCCCTCTGTCCACACAGTAATGTTGGCCCTCTGTCCACACACTAATGTATGGCCCTCTGTCCACACAGTAATGTATGTCCCTCTGTCCACACAGTAATGTGTGGCCCTCTGTCCACACAGTAATGTATGTCCCTCTGTCCACACAGTAATGTGTGGCCCTCTGTCCACACAGTAATGTTGACCCTCTGTCCACACAGTAATGTATGGCCCTCTTCCACACAGTAATGTATGGCCCTCTCTCCACACAGTAATGTATGGCCCTCTGTCCACAGTAATGTGTGGCCCTCTGTCCACACAGTAATGTGTGGCCCTCTGTCCACACAGTAATGTATGTCCCTCTGTCCACCAGTAATGTTGGCCCTCTGTCCACACAGTAATGTTGGACCCTGTTCCACAGTAATGTATGGCCCTCTGTCCACACGTAATGTATGGCCCTCTGTCCACACAGTAATGTATGGCCCTCTGTCCACACAGTAATGTATGGCCCTCTGTCCACACAGTAATGTATGGCCCTCTGTCCACACAGTAATGTATGGCCCTCTGTCCACAGTAATGTATGGCCCTCTGTCCACACAGTAATGTATGGCCTCTGTCCACACAGTAATATATGGCCCTCTGTCCACACAGTAATGTATGGCCTCTGTCCACACAGTAATGTATGGCCCTCTGTCCACACAGTAATGTATTACCTCTGTCCACACAGTAATATATGGCCCTCTGTCCACACAGTAATATATGGCCCTCTGTCCACACAGTAATGTATGACCCTCTGTCCACACAGTAATGTATGTCCCTCTGTCCACACAGTAATGTGTGGCCCTCTGTCCACACAGTAATGTATGTCCCTCTGTCCACACAGTAATGTGTGGCCCTCTGTCCACACAGTAATGTGTGACCCTCTGTCCACACAGTAATGTATGGCCCTCTCTCCACACAGTAATGTTGGCCCTCTCTCCACACAGTAATGTATGGCCCTCTCTCCACACACTAATGTATGGCCCTCTGTCCACACAGTAATGTATGGCCCTCTGTCCACAGTATGTTGGCCCTCTGTCCACACAGTAATGTGTGGCCCTCTGTCCACACAGTAATGTATGTCCCTCTGTCCACACAGTAATGTGTGGCCCTCTGTCTACACAGTAATGTATGCCTCTGATCCCACAGTAATGTTGGCCCTCTGTCCACCAGTAATGTATGGCCCTCTGTCCACACAGTAATGTATGGCCCTCTGTCCACACAGTAATGTATGGCCCTCTGTCTACACAGTAATGTATGGCCCTCTGTCCACACAGTAATGTATGGCCCTCTGTCTACACAGTAATGTATGACCCTCTGTCCACACAGTAATGTATGGCCCTCTGTCACAGTAATGTATGGCCCTCTGTCCACACAGTAATGTATGGCCTCTGTCCACACAGTAATATATGGCCCTCTGTCCACACAGTAATGTATGGCTCTCTGTCCACACAATAATGTATGGCCCTCTGTCCACACAGTAATGTATTACCTCTGTCCACACAGTAATATATGGCCCTCTGTCCACACAGTAATATATGGCCCTCTGTCCACACAGTAATGTATGACCCTCTGTCC